ATTGAACAAAAGAAAGCTAGAAGTCACCTCCACCTACTGGCAGTTGTCAAATATTCTTTAATTAATACACAAAATGGTTAAAAACTAACAAATTCTACCCTATATTCTACAAGTTGAAACCTTCAGTACACACATTAACTTCCATTGTCATTAAACTGGTCTCAGGAATTACAGTAAACAAAAAGAACTTTGGAAGATTGGTTTCACCCAGAGTTCATCCAGTTGCATTGTGGTAAGCACTCGGGGACCCTACCCTGCGTGAAGGGTGCTATATAAAAGTTGTTGTTGTTGTTGGTCTTGATAAAATGACCCAGGGCAAGTAATCATAGAAGGGAGACAATGTCTAAGGATTCCAGATAAAATTGCCCTTTTATTTCGTTTCGAAGGCTGTTTGTGGAACATTGCTTTGTGCAGATTGGCTGCGGCATTTCTCTAAAAAGAGTCAGAAAATTGTGGAGTGCTTTGAGACAACATAAGGAGTTATAACAAATGCAAGTATTATTATTGCTGTACAACAATAACCTGCACTTGTATAGCCCTCTTCACGCGGGTAGAGTGTCGAAGCGGTTAACAGTGGCAGTGGTTGAAGTTGAGCCAGAGAGAACGAGAGAGAGGAGGTGACCATAGGCATAATCGAAGGGGAAGCTCTTCAGGCTACTGTACAGCAAACTGTAAGTCCTTTATATCCAGCATTTGAGATGATTACACTGGGACAATTTACTTTCGTTTCCACTGGTGGGAGGTTCTGGATTCCCACGATCTCTGACATATTGTGGTGCATTTTTATAGTCTTCCCAATACATTCCTTTCTTTTGGCTGTTGGGTTTTCCCTTGTGAACTGAGTAAGTTCAGGTCACACATGTGGTTTTAATAGTAGCAGTTTTGAATCTTTATGTGCAAATGGCTGGTTGCAGCACGTTTCATTATTGCTGTTTTTAAAAATAAATTTCTTTGGCGCACTTTACGAAAGGCTCTCCGGGGGAGTGGAAAACTTACCATAGAACTAAGAGCAATCCTTTCAGTCCCCTTTTTTGTGATTATTATTTTTTTAAAGTATAAAAAAAATTAATGTTTTAATTAGTTTTTTTAATTGCCTGCCGTGTTTCACCCACAAAATACATAGTCCATTTTACAATATAGTCCGTTGATCGCTTTGAGATGTCTCAACAATGTTTCAAGGCACTATATCAAATGCAAGGATTATTATCTTTATTTAACTCCTCTTTCCTCATACCCCTATATACCACTTATTTTTGGTGCGTTAACATACATTGTATCTTGATTCTCATGTCAGCATCACATTTGTGAGAGATCCACCCTCTGCCCACTCTACAGTGTTCCAACAATATTCCTAAGATTCAACAGTAACATTTTTGCCTGAAGGGATCATGTTGAGCTGTGTTTTATGTGCCTGGGCACTTAACTTTCTCACAACGTTTACTAATTGACTTTCAAACATGGTTCTGACAGCACAGGAGCCACAATGCCTTTCCATAACCTTCAGTCCCCTCAACTTCTTAAAACACTTTAATCCCCTCAAAACTGCTTTGCTGGAATTTTTGTTCTGCAAAGGATCACAGACAGATTAAGGGACTGGGTGGAATGAAAGCAATGGAGTTTATTGTAATAAAGAGTGATGGACTACACTTTAGTAATAATCCCTGCATTTGTTATGCGCCTTTCATAGCGGGAGGATGGATGTCTCAAAGAGTTTAACAGGATTTACTTCAACATGTAGTGACTGCGTTGTAGACTAAAATGGTAGCCAATCTGTATATAGCAGTGACCTACAAACAGCCATCAAGAGAATGACCAATGTCTGGGGTTTATTGGCCAGGACATAGAGAGAATTCTCTTCCCTTTTTGAGACTATCTCAAAAATAACAAATTACATTTACTAATTTTCAGGTACGAGGTAAATTTGGTCACTCAATCCATGACTCTTTGTGAGACAATCCCGAGTGTAGTTGGCTGCCGCATTTTGCCCACAAAATATACAGTTAATTCGCTTCACTGTATATTCTGTGAAACTCTTTGAGACAGCTCAAAGATATGATCAGGCACTGTAGCAAATTCAAGGATTATTATTATTCAAGCACAGTCGCTCTACCCTGACCTTTTTACAGCTCAAAACATGCTCTCCAGACCCTTGAAGCACAGTGTACAATTACACTACAGTTTGAATAGCGTAGTACAAATATTTTGCGTCTAACATTACACTGTACTCAATCCTACAGACAACGCTAGTGTATTCAGCTGCAAGGAAGTGGCCTCAAATAGCCTTCTGCTTTGGGAAAGACCCAAACATTATGCGTAGTGCAACCCCCTACAGCACAGCTGATAGCAGGAAGTAGGGAAGCAAACTTGTTCTCTCCAATTTGGCGCCATAACACATCGTACAACAACAACAAGATTTCATTTACAGAGCGCCTTTCACGTCGGGAGGACGTCCCAAGGCGCTGTACAGTTGGGTCAGGACCCGAGCAGGGGGGAAATGGTCAGGGTGAGGGGAGGGAAGGGAGGGAGCGAGGAGGGGGTAGAGAGTCGAGAGGGGAGCTGAAGGCACGGTCAAAGAGAAAGGTCTTGAGACCGGCCTTGAAGGAGGAAAGGGAGGAGGCGGCGAAGGCACTGGGGGATAGAGTTCCAGAGCCTCGGGGCTGAGAGGCTGAAGGCCCGGCCACCAATGTTGGGGCGGGGGATGTGGAGCAGACCGGAGCCAGAGGAACGGAGAGTATGGGCAGGTACGTGGGGGGATAGTAGGTCGGAGAGGTAGGAGGGAGCAAGGCCGTGAATGGCCTTGTAGGTGAGGATGAGGATCTTGAATTCGTACCATCATTAATTCATCTCAAGGGTTCAATTAAGACGCTTCAAGACCTGAGGAATTTTTTTAAATGACATTTTTTTAAATGACTTTTTTTTAAATGACATTTACTTTTTTTTAAAAAAAATCAGTTATCATTTTTTTCTCTCTCCCAGGAATGAACATCCTGAATTTGAGCAGGACAAAAAGCTTCAGTCAATTGTCCATTTGATTAACAAACCTAGAAGTGGCATTCAGTTGACCACAGTCACTACCTACAAATACTTTATTTAGTCTCCCATCTAAATATAAGTTATCTTCCCCTCCCTTCTTGCTGAAAATCCTCCAGCACAATAACTAAACTGGGCACGGTTTGCATTCCGTTAAAAACCACATTGTTGAACAATTTCTTCTGTGACTCTATGTAGATCTAATCAAAGGCAAAGAAAATAGGAAGTGTAGATTCTTAATTTATCTCAAATTTGAGTTCCTGTGCAAATCCACTTCTCTATGTTTTTACATGGTGCCTATGTTCGGACACTTTTTATGGGATTTGCCAACATTTTAAATCAATTTCAGGTTCAATGATAGGAATTGATGTGGCATGAAATCGGATACAGTACTAAAAATAGTGCAGCAACTTTTAATTTCCTTCCTCATCCGCTTGCACAATAGCTTGTCTTAAAGATGTTCAGTCTAACTCGCGATTTGTATGTTAAACTTGTTACACTTTGCACAAGTTCTACAAATTCCACCCTTGCCTACCAGGTAACTAATAATTATCAATAATAATCCTTGGATTTGATATACATCCTTTTACATCAAGATGTCTCAAAATGCTTCAGAGCATATTCTATGATACATTGCAAAATTCGATTTGTATAGTACTTTTCACGTCGAGAGGATGTCCCAAGGCACTGGACAGTCAGGGATTTGGACCCGGGATTGGGGAGCGTAGAGGGCAAGGAGGGTAGGAGGGTGGCCAAAGGCTCAGTCGAAGAAGAGGGTTTTGAGACGTGAGGTGAAGGGAATGTGGATTGGAGTTCCATAGAATGGGGGCAGAAAGGCTGAAGGCTCTCATTAAAACACTTAATATGTTTTTTTTCTGTTTGACTGCTCTAAAAATACTGCAGGCACGATACATTCTGTCTTCACCCACACATACATGTCCAGTACCCACCCAGTGCAAATATAACATACACACACACTTTAATGGATAATGGTGCCTTTAATAATTATCCTTTATAATTGTTTGACATTAAAAGACGTGTTGTATATCGCTGTTTCCTTGACAATAAAATACACTGCATTGATAATGAATTTCTCGTATCAGATTTATCAATTAATCTGACGTGAGTTGGTCACCAGTTTCACTTCACTCCCACAGATTGTAAAGTGAAAAGCAATTTGGAGTCCCTAAAGCCAAATATGTGCTCTATGGAGAATAGACAAGTGGGTGTGTATTCATTTCTCTCTTCTCTCAACCTCATCCCACCCGGAGAGATTGCAAACTGCCAAGCTGAAACTTTGCATCTCTACAATCTCGGTAGCTGGAGGATTTTTTTCTGTGCAACTAAGGATTAGCTAAACATAACTTCATGTTTTAAAAATAGCTCAAAGGGCAGTGAAAATTGAGAAGTTAGCTAGTGATGAGGAAGTGGTTTTGTTGTGTTTGTGTCCGTGCTAGCACAGGAATTGATTAAGGGAACTCCCTCCTCATCTGCCTTCCGAACTCTTCCCTTCACAAGCTGCAGATCATCCAAAACTCTGCAGCTCCTGTACTCTCACGCACCAGGCTCCGTGACCCCATCACTCACACCCTCGCCCGACTCCACTGGCTCTCCATCTCCCAGAGGATTGAGTTCAAGATCCTTATCCTCATCTTTAAGGCCATCCATGACCTTGCCCCCTCCTACCTCTCTGACCTGCTGACTCCCTACCAACATAGCGTGCGGATAGTCGGATGGCTTTGTTTTCTGAAAGCTTATGCAGGGGATGTAACCAGTCAGTATCGGACATGTACGTATTCAGATATACTGTTGCTCCACCATATGATCACGCTATGAACCAACCCGCCATATACCAAATGCGTTATAACAGGGTCTGTCTGTTTCTGTAGTTAGGGAAATATGTGTTGGTTGATTCAGTTTTTCTTTTGCTTGTGTGAGGAAACAATTATGAGCTTTAATATTTTTTTCAGGTAAACCCTCTACTTGAAGCCTTTGGAAATGCTCAGACTGTGATGAATGACAACAGCAGTAGATTTGGGAAATACATTCAACTAAGATTTTACAACAACACAGGTAAAGGGGGAAAAAATATCTTGTTCATCTCGTTTCATTCACAAAATACACAATAAGTGCACTTTACGGTATATACTGTGAAGCACTTTGAGACGTCTTCACGACATAAGGAGTTATATTAAAATGCAAGGATTATGTTTATTAAAACTGAGGATTGTGTTTAATGTTAAGCTCGAGCTCCCTCCAGATGTTTATTTCCTGTTCTTTCTGCCACACATCCAGTTGAAACTGGTTTGTTTTTGGTCCAAGTTCTGTACCCAGATCTAATTGGTTGTCACGTGTTTAAACAGTGACAACAGTGTCAAATTACATGCAACTGAACAGAGCCAGCTCATTTCCCACACACAACATTCTCAGCCCAGCGCTCTAGAGAACACAACACCATCATGCAGACGGATTAGCGACTTGACTTCAATGAGGTATTTTGGGCTAAATTATCCAGGAGTTAGCTTCCATGTCCTGCTGGTCAAAGGAAACCATATCCTTCCTTAGAGAAGTTTGCTCTGGGTGGGAAGGTTGTTTGTAGCTGTATCTGCGTATTGCCAAGCTACTTCATAAAGTGCCCTAGGTGCCATATTTCTATTGCAGAGCCAGAGGACAAACATCTCTACAAGTATAACTTTTAAGATTCAATTCATGACTCCGTGTCTGCCATGGGCTGCAAGGAGCTCAGTGGATGGTGAAAGGGGCGCACAGTCCAAGTGGTTCCACTGTGGAGTGGGGTAGTGTGGATTCCCGTAGCGTATTGGTTGGAGCACTCGCCTCGGAAAGCGAGAGGACCTGGGTTCAATTCCTGGGCGGGGTAAAATCATAGGCAAGTTTTCTTACAGCAAATGCCTCTGTTTACCTGGTAGTAAGTAGAACCCCGGTTGTTAGTTGATTGGCGGATCACATCTAGGGGATTAATAATGCCCTAAAAAAAATGTAGTAATTCAATCCATGTTTGTTTGTGAAGCACTACTGTGTGAAATTGTCTGCCATGTTTCGTCCACAAAATACAGTTTCACTTTACATTTGTGTGAAGAGCTTTGAGACGTGTCAATGGTGTGATAAGGCACCCTATCAAATGCAAAGATTATAATAGTAGTAGTATTACTAGCCACCAATAATAATAATGTGGGCAGTCAACCTGACAGCAGTCAAAATCCTTGCCTGTCTTTATGATCATTAGCACTGAAGTGTGATTTCATCCCGTGAATCTGATGCCTATTGATTTGGGGTTAATGGTGTAACTTTGTTCTTTATTTTCTCCCAAGTCAAGGGTGCTAAGATCAATGAGTATCTTCTGGAGAAATCCCGGGTTGTGCATCGGGATGAAGGCGAGAGAAACTTCCACATTTTCTACTACATGTTTGCTGGAATATCAGCTGCTGACCAGGAAGTATACGGTCTTTTGGACCCGAAGTTCTACAGGTAACTCTTTTATTGGGGTGACACATTCCTCAAGCATCCACATCCCATCACAGCTGATCTGATAATTTGATTTATTTCCATCACAACAATAGTATAAAATTCCAGATATTGTACCTTTATATTTGAAGGCAAGGTTCTCAGATGACAAGTGCTAAAGGAATCTTAAATGATTCCTAATGATATGACTAACCTGGGTCTTGGTACTATTTACTCAGCGACTCCTTAGCACTTCAAATCCTTAAGATTCAAGAAATTTTGGAATGGAATAAGGGAATCAGTCTCCTCTGATTCCATTTCTATGCTCTTCCCCCATAACCTTTTACATCCGTCAGTTTAGCTCAGTTAGGAGCACTCTCACTCTCTCACTCAGGCTGTGGGTTCAAGCTCATATTGGGACTTTGAGCTCACAATAAAGGCAGATGCTCTACTGGTTGGTGATGTGGGGAGAGGAGTGAAGAATGCTTAAGGATCCTGTTACACTATATGAAAAGAGAAGGGTTTTCCCCTGATGTCCTGGCAAACAATCCTCCAGGTAAATTGGTCGTTCACTTCATGGCTGTTTGTGGAAACTTGAATGCACTAAAATTGGCTATTGCATTTGCTGATCAATACCCAATATTACATTTGACAATAACAGTTAATAACCCATGAAGTGCTTTGAGATGAGAAGGAAAACAAATGAGCCTCTTTGACCGCTGTTCAGCAACCCTTGATGGATTTGTAACCCTTTGTCTCGACCATGCCGTAACTCACTACACCAGAATTAGAAATGACGAGAGCAGCGATTGCTAGTGCCTGGCGACAATAAAGTGAGCGCTTGGGAGATTCAATACGTGAGCCTCGCACTTTGGACCAGCTCCACAATTGGCTAACAAATTGCTTTCTGCTTCATGCTGAGAGGCCTCAGTGAATTTAATATTTGATCCCAATGATTGTCAAGTTGATAACTTGCCACCTCTAAGAATAATAATAATATTGCTTGCATTTGACATAGGGTCTTATGTCTTTAAGACATCTCAAAGCACTTCACAGAATATACTGTAAAGTGAATTGACTGTATATTCTGTGGTGAAACATGGCAGTCAATTGTGCACAGCAGGTCCCACAAACAGTCGTGGATTGTGCGACTAAATTATTATTTGTTTTATTTTATTTTTGAAGGGATTATTACTCCCATAAAAGCGATCCGATCAACAAACAACTGGGTTCCTACTTACTGCTAGGTAAACAGAGGCATGTATAGTAAGGAAACTTGCCTAATGGTTTGCCCCGCCCGGGAATTGCTTGCCAGGCAAGTGCTCTAGCAATTAAACAGAGCTGAAATGGAATAAATACCTTGTCTCATAATTCCCAGTGTGTCTTGCAGAAAGTTGAGGCAACTTAATTTAAGTTAGGTGTGAGTTTCAGTTGATGTTTTATCCCCTTAGTTTCATCATCCTTTGATGTCTGTAAACAGTTTTGAATTCTCCCCCTCAGTAATTCCTTACAAAGGTCATGATTGTTGACCTTTGAGCTCAACATTCTCAACTGTTCCACCCTTTTACTTTTATCGTGTTGCAACAGGATGTGTTTACTTGGATGACAATGTGAACTTTCATACTAGAGTTGAGCCTCGATTATAGTGCAGTGTTTGCGAGCCAGAAAATCCCAACATGCGCTGCAGCAAAGTACAACAGCAGTTTTCACTGCACCTGTGCTCCCAATGTGTAAATCCCTCTACAGTTTAAGAGCTCTGAGACGCCATCTGACGTGAAGGGCACTATATAAATGCAAGTTGTTGTTGCAAAAGAAAACTGCGGTGGCTTCCGGGTCATCGGGACAACTCCAAGACCCCTTCCTGTTTTCTCTGGAAAGCAGGAAATGAGGTCTTTGGCGACACGATGACCTGAAAGTTGTCCATTTTAATGTGAAAGCCCCTAATGCTCAGTGAATGGGGTTCAAAGTACAACAATGCTATAATATAATAATCCAATCCTTACATTTGATATGGCACCTTTCACATCAGGAGGACATCTTCAAACTCTTCACAAGATATACTGTAAAATGAAATGACTATGTTTTATAGGCGAACAATTTAAATGGTGCTTAAATAATAATAATAATAATAATAATCCCTGCATTCTAGACATCTCAAAGCGCTTCACAGATTATGCTGTAAAGTGAATTGACTGTATATTTGTGGGAGAAACGCGGCAGCCAATTGCACACAGCAGTGTCCCACAAACAGTCGTGGATTGAAAATGACCAATTTACTATTGTTTTTGTTTTTTGGAGGGATTATTATTAGGGGTTAAAAAGAAGTGCTTTACAACAGAGCCCTGTTTGGATTTCAGTGTTTTAGGTAATGAGCTATGGTTTTATTTTCTTTCCCATTACTCCCATCGCACTCTGTCTCTCACAGGTACTTGAATCACAAATATGGAAACAAAGAAACCGTTCAGCAGTGGGGCACGAAATATCATGAGGTGTGCAATGCCATGGACATGGTTGGCTTTCTGGAACAGGTAAAAGCTTCATTCCAGAAACCTCTTGAAGATCACTTGATATTTAAGTTGATGGTCTCCGGGACTTTGATCATTTAATTTTGTATGTGAGTGAAAAGTAGAGGTTCCAAAAGCATGGGTTTAGTCGCAAAATGAAGTCAGGTTCAAAGTGGGATTAAAAAACGTTTAATATTAACCTTGCATTTCATATAGCATTTTATCACATTGCCGGGACATCTTGGCCTTCACAGGAATTTACTGTGAAGTGTAGTGTCTGCATTTGAATGCAACCAATTTTCGCACCTGAAGATTTTCATTTTCGACTGTGCCTTCGGTCAACTACCCTCCCTTTCCAGCCCAGCGTCAAGCTCCACCTCTCTGTGACGCAACCTGTGTGAAGCTGCGCTCTATAAATGCAAGTTGTTGTTGCTGTTGGGTTGTGCACAGCAATATCCCCCAAACATTGAGGATGTGGGAATACAATGACAACACAAAGTTGCATTTACATTCACACAGGTAACGTCTCAGAGCGTAATTTGATAGAAGGAGGTCTAGAAGACCGCAGATGCATTGATCGATTTCCGGTGGGGTTGTGGGGCACTGCTTAAAAGGGAGATGAGGATTGCAAGGAAATTAGATTAAAAGATCTGTCATGATCTAATAAAAGATCGGAACAGACTCAGTGTGCCTAATTCCGTTACTATGTCAATAGTAAATAATCTTAGTTCCTTGTTTTTTGTCCTTGTTTCTAGGAGCAAGTCGACATGTTGACGATACTGGCAGGAATCCTCTCACTGGGCAATATTGTGTTTGAGCCTCAAGACACTGGGATCCTTAAAGTGACCAATGAGTCAAAAGGATGGTTGAAAGCTGCAGCTGTAAGTAATAATAATCCTTGCATTTGAAATAGAGCCTTATCACGTCTTCAAGGCGTCTCAAAGCGCTTCACAGAATATACTCTAAAGTGAATTGACTGTATTTTGTGAGCGAAACACAGCAGCCAATTGTGGACAGCAGCATCTCACAAACAGTCGCAGATTGAGTATTCCTTTATAGTCAAAACTAAACCATGGCAAAATAACCTGCAATTCTCGCATGGGCAGGGGAGATCCTGCTCCTGGAAAGGAACTCAATTTTTGCTTCGGAAAACTTTTTGGACATGAAATCCGAATTTTGCTCCAACTGAATCGCCAGTGGCTGGCAAAATCCCGAGCATCCAATATAAACAGAGTTTTCTCCACGGAACGACAGCATCGGTGAGAAGTGGTTTTGATAGGAAACTGAATGTGACATGGGTTGATGTACCAGTTAGGCAATTATATGATTTATGAAGATAAGACTATGCGCGTTTTACTTATTGTTGGAAGCCCTCTTTCATCCACGTTAGATAATTTGTGTTTTCTCTTAGCAAGAGTTGAATTGCTGAGGGTGATTACATACGCTGCGGTGCAAAAGGTTTACAAACTGGCTATTTTTATCAGAAGTTTATGGAACTCCTGAGCCAAGGATAACATTTAACAGCTGCTTAATTGTCTGAATGAGCTCATTCAATCTCTTGGCATGCTGCAGCATAACTTCCCTGGAGTCTCGTCTTTTGCTTTCACACTTAACATTTACATAGAAACAGTTTCAGGCAGGAGTGAAAGACTGGATCCATTTGGCCTCCTTGTTCAGCTTCTCATAAGATTCCTCCAAGTCTAATAACCCTGAAACCCTAGAGTTTGGGTTTGGTATTTGAGTCACATTTTGAAAGTACCTATTGAGTTTTGTTCCAGATATTTATTGAACCATATCAGAATCCGAAACAGAACACGGTGCATCAAGACACTTGCCATGATGGATTTAAATCTATGCAGTAATAAAGTGATTCTGAAATGAAGGCCAAAGCATCAGAGACACGAAATGCACATTGCAAATAATTTCCTTGTGACACGACGACAACAATTCACATTTATACAGTTTCTTTCACGTCGGAAAGACTTGTCAAAGTGCTTCGTTTCAAACGGCTGACTAGGCACCAGCCTGAAGGGGAGAGGAAATGTAGCTGATAGTGCTGTCAAAGAGATTGGTCTAAAGGTTTTAAAAACAGGGAGGGGCGAGGTGGAGGGACATCTGGAAGGAATTCCAGAGAACAGGATCAAAATGTCTGAAAGCCTGTCCTCTACAGCTGAGGCATATCGGGGTGGAGGGAATAAAGCGGGCTGATATTTTCTGAGTGGAGGGAATGGCTGTGGATGTAGGGTCAAAGAAAACCCTTGCTGGATAGTTGTGGTGTAGTCTATGGTCTGCGGTGAGTGAATGGATTAGACTGGATGTCTCTGTGGTCAGACTCTGCCACTGTCATGAGTTCCATGATTCTACCCTGCGTGAAGGGCGCTATATAAATGCAAGTTTTTGTTGTTGGCTGCATATCTGACACTGACTACTAGCTGCCTGGGTGAAGTAATCTGAAGAATACGCCAGCATTAGTGTACACCATTAGAAAATGAGAGGAAATAAGTCTTGAAATCTTGGTGATTTTCCAAAGAAAGCCGCCATCTTGCCAGTACTCAGCCTGGCAGCTGGTTGGCTCGGTTGGTAGCCTCTCATCTCCGAGTCAGAAGGTTGGTATAACACCTTTCACATTAGGAGGACGTCCCAAAGCTCTTCACAGGATCTACAGTGAAGTGGAGTGACTGAGTGGAGGGAGCAGCTGTGGAAGTAGGGTCACAGGAAACCCCTGCTGGATAGTTGTGGTGTAGTCCATGGTCTGCAGTGCGTGGACAGATTTGAACACAGCAGTGTTCCACAAACAGCCATGAAATGAATGACCAATTTTATTGGGGGATTGTTGGCCTATTCTTAATTTGGGCTGCGAGTGAGAGGGGGCGGGGTGGTGCAGTTTACAGTTTTAACAACCAAGGCTAGTGTTTACATTCGATTCTGGTGCGTGTCTTTTATTAAATCTCGATTGCTACAAGACGGATGTTTAATAGTAATTAGTGTTTAATGGGTGCTCCTGGTTTTGTGGATACTGTATGTTGCTGATTGATAAATGATGCTCTTTAGTACTCTTGTCATCTGATGTTTGCCTCAGCAAATGTTATTTTCTAGCTGCGTGAAGCATTGCCAGTGCAGATAATTGGCATAGGAACTGATTGTTGCCCGAAATGGAGCCAGATTGATGTAAGCCATGCAGATAGTTACTGAAAGCAACACTTGTAATAGTTACAGTTTTTGTACTTTATTTTAAAATAGATTTGTGTTTTTCTAAGGCTAATTTCATAACGGAGGTAATTAGGTATTGGAATAAGGGAAAGCTGAACCTGGTTAATAAAATTAAGTTATATTAATTATAATAATAATAATCCTTGCATTTGGTGTAACGTCTGTCATTGCCAGGAGCACTTCACAGGATTTACTGCAAAGTGTAGTGACTGTGACAGTGCTTGGAGGCACTGAATTCCACAATCCCCACAACTCTCTGACTAAGAGAATGACTCCTGATTTCAATGATAATTTTTACATAATGCTCTCTTGTTCTGGATCTTGCAATCGTAGGAAAGAGTCCCTCCTTATGGTACTTTAGCAGTTCCATTTACTATTTTGTAATGCCTCGATCAGATTATCCCTCAAGAGAATATAGCACCAGTTTCCCCATTCTGTTGTATAATGGGGGCCTGTTGTTTCATCTAAAAATACACAGTCGCTACACTTTGCAGTAAATCCTGTGGAGTGGTTTGAGACGTCCCCTGATTTGAAAGGCACTCCCATCAAAATGCAAGGATTATTATGATATAAGTAAGCCTCTTCAATCCAGGTATTATTGTGTGGGCTGCGCTGCACGGCATTCAAGGTCAGCACATCACTTCTACGCTGTGGTGCCCACACAGTATTCCAAATAAGGTCTAATATTACACAATCATAAAGACAGAAGTCACTGGGAACACTCAGCAGGTCAGGCAGCATCTATGGAGAGAGGAAAGCGGTTAATGTTTCAGGTTGATGGCCTTTCATCAGAGTCCAGCACCTGCAGCAATTTGCCTTCTGACATTTATACAATGTCTGATATTGTATACAACTGTAACACCATTTCCTTTGTCTGGTTACATTTTCTCAGGGTCAGTTTGGCGTCGAGGAGGAAGATCTGTTGAAGTGTTTGATCTGCACACTGGCAGTGACTCGAGGAGAATCCATTCAGAGGCACCATACCAAGCAGCAAGCTGAAGGCAAGAGCAATGACAATAATAATAATAATCCTTACATTTAAAATAACGTCTTTCACTTTGTGAGAACTTCTCAAATCGCTTCACAGAATGTACTGTAAAGTGTAATGTGTAACTTGTGGGCGAATGTGGCAGCCAGTTTGTCCTCACCGATAGCTATGAAGTGAATGACCGATTTTTTTTTCATATTGACGGTGAATAACTCCAGGATTTTCACTCTGTGAAAAGTTTCTCAAAAGTTCCTGGTCTGTGTTTCCCCCCCTCACCATGTGTCGAGGCAGATCCTGAGGCGTGATTTGTTTTGCCGGCGGTCCCAGCCTCTGGAACCCCACCCGGGTGTCCTCTCTTCTGAGAGTCTGGAACGGCAAGTGTTGTTCTCTTACTCAACTGTGGGGATGGCTGTCATTATTCAGGGTCCACCCGAGCACCCTCTGAGCAGAGATCACTGAAAGACTAACAAGAGTCGTAACCATTAACAATATTTGTTTTTTCTCCGCTTTAGCCTGGGGACGCGAGTGTCAGTTTTGGTGCCTTCGCTGCTACCCCAACTGAGACTGTCTACCTACAACTATAACCTGTTGTAACGCAGTGTTTCGGATCCATAAAATGAGTGCTTTTCTATGCCCGTTCTGCAGATAAATGGCTATTGGTCCCACTTCAGATGGTCAGATTGCTGTTGATGTCACTTCTGGTGCTAACTGGCCGTCTTCCTTTGCAGGCGAGAAGTGAGCAGGAAGCAGGTCTAATGGTAGAACCTCTTATAAGAGCGGTTATGGCTTGATTGGTTGCATGGCCAGCCATTTGAAGCCGCCAGTGCAGGCTTACAGCCTACCTGCCCTTGCACTGTAATGAGTTGTGTTATAAACGACATTGAGTTGTAGGTATTTTAGCCACTATGTGGTGAAATCTGATATCTTTCTGTATATATTCCTGTATATATTCTGGGTTTGGAAATCGCTGACAAAATGTGGGCAGGAAGGGGAGACAAATAACCAGCCAATACTGCTGCTATTAAGAGAGATCATTCAAGTTTGCGTTGATGCCATACAGTGACCTTTTTGACTTGTGTTCTAGATGCCAGGGACTCGATTGCTAAAGTAGCGTATGGCAGAGTTTTTGGTTGGATCGTCAGTAAAGTCAACCAGCTTTTAGCTCCTAAAGAGGACATGGACACTGTGGACCTGCAGGAGATAGGTAAGCAGTGAATTTAATTCTGTGCCTTTCAAAACTTTGGGAGGTAATTTGCAGACCTAACAAAATGTATTTCAGAAACCTGAGGGAGAAGGAAATAGAGAGGTACAGGAGAGGGCATTCATTATAAATAATCCTTACATTTGGTATCGCACCTTTCACATCGTGACAATGTCACAAATCGCTTCACAAGATATGCTGTAAACTGCAGTGACTGTGTGCTTTAATGGACAAGCATGGCAGCTCGTTTGCACACAGTAATGTCCCACAAACTGCCATGAAGTGAATGACCAATTGTATTTGATGGAGTGTTGGCCAGGACACAGGGAGAAACTCCCTCCTCTTTTAGAACAGTGCCATGGGACCTGAACAGGCAGACAGGACCTCAGTTTAATGTCTTATTTGAAAGAAGGCACATCCAATAATACAGCACATCTCCAGTACTGCATTGGAGGGTCAGCTTAGACGATCTGAGTTCCAAGTCTTCAGGTGGAGTTTAGGATGAGTAGAGGCTGGTGTGGAGTGTGAACACCAGCACGGACTGGTTAACCCGCATAACCTGTTTCTGAGCTGTAACATTCTGTTACTGGCAATACTGATAGATTAGCCAGGATTAAATGTGTCTTGCTCTTTCCAGCATTCAAATGTGAACCTCGCCACCTGAGCAGGGTATATAAACAACTTTCAATGTTGATAATGGATTTTTGAGTCCCTTCTCTTTTCCCTTTTATATTGCTTCTGTTCAAATGTTTATCCAGGTCCCGTTGTTATAGTCTAAGCTTTCTAAGTCACTTGAGGCAAAGCATTCAATTACTCTCCACGTGATAGTTTTTTTCCAACATCTGCCTGTTAAATATTTTAGTAGTGATGGTGAATTTATTGCCCCTTTTTACTGAAATGGTTATGAGAGGTCATAACTAATTGGTGTGGACGCAAGTTGGTTGTCTTTGATGATCTAATGTGTTCAGCACATAAACTCCTGAACCACCTGAATGTCTCTGGTTTGAGCCGCTCTATAATGCTCTCCATGTATTGATGAATTGGTTTAATTTTTTATTGACAGGTATATTGGACATTTTTGGCTTTGAGAACTTTGCAGTTAACAGGTACGAGCAGATGTGCATTAATTTGGCAAATGAACAGCTTCAGTATTTCTTCAATCATGTAAGTAATCGCAAAGATTGAAAAATAATTCATAGTTTGTACATTAATTATGTATCAAATAATCCACAGCCACGTCCTGTTATGACGGTGCCTGAAAGTCCACTGAGTCTATTCTTTATTTTGAAGTGAAAGATCATACAAAATCATGGCAAATACTTAAATTCAATCTTAATTTTTTTTCTAAATTGCTATGGAATCCTAATGTGAAAGACGCTATATAAATGAAAACTGTATTCGGTTGTATTTCATCTTGCCATGGGATCTTTAACAACCATCTGAATGGTTAATGTTTCATCCGAAGGACAGTTAAAGTGGAAAACCTATTACACCCGTGAATAAAAAGAATAGAATTAATTCCCCTTGTGTTCACCCCCATTAACAACAACAAATTTACATATATATAGTGCCTGTCATGTCGAGAGAACGCCCCACATTGGTGAGATGTATCAATATTGTTCACTAGCGTGCAACTGAGTTTTCACTTCTTACGCAGAAGTCCTCCCAAATTAAGTGCAGTTTTGTTTGTTTCCGACAGCACATATTTTTGATGCAACAGAAAGAGTACAAGCAAGAGGAACTGGAATGGAAAGCCATAACTTACAAGGATAACAAAGAAATACTGGTAAAAGTAATGTTTTAACACTTGTCAGATTACTCCTTGTTCTGCTAGTCTCTTTTACTCATGTGTATGTTCTCTCCCTGCAGGATCTTTTCTTAGCAAAGCCACTAGGAATATTTTCCCTGCTGGATGAACAAAGCACGTTTCCACAAGTAAGATATTCATCATCATTGAAGAGAGGGCAAAAGCAGAGTAACTATTCCACACGTCCATTACTTTGATCTAAACAATTTTCAACAACTACTTGAATAAATAGAGCCCTTCACGCAGGGTAGCATCTCGGAGGACTTAGCAGTGATGAAGCCTGATGTCAAGGAGGGGCCGGGTGGGTGCTGGCGGTGGGGGAACCAAAAACCTCGCTGGATGGAATAATGGGGGGAGATCTGGTCTGGCAAAACAGAGTATCCGGCTAAGTGTAATTACGATGCTGGTGCTGGCAATCACAGGCTTTTTCCAGTCCTGAAAACAGTCACTACAGTAAATTCTATGAAGTACTCCGTTCAGTGGGCTCCGGCCTGCTCCATGTCTCTCGCCTGACCTGCCCTACCATCAGTGGCCGAGCTTTCAGCTTCTGTGCCCCCACACTCTGGAACTTCATTCCACAGTCCCCTCGCTTCCTCCCTTGCCTCCCTCAAGGCTGGTCTCAAGACCCTTCTCTTCGGTCGTGCCTTCGGTCGCCCTCCCACCTCTCTGCCTTCCCTCACCCCACCCCTCCTCCATGCTCGGGTCCTGACCCCTGATTGTCCAGCGCCTTGAGACGTCCTCCCAAAGTGAAAGGCGCTCTATAAATGTAATTTTGTTGTTGTTAAGACGTTTCGACTACACAGGAGGCTATATCAGATCGAAAGATTATTATTCTTAATATTTATTCTTTTCATTGAGACTTAATATTTTGATGAGCAGATTACAGTCCCCAAAAAGGATTGGCTATGTTTTTGATACCTTAACCAGGTAATTGTTTTATGCGAGTGCACACACATGCATACATGTGGGTGTGTGTACCTTTTAATTTATCATTTGAATGTGTCAAAATACATCTGGGTGTTTGGAGAAGTGTGTTTGGTTTCGAATTGCACCCCGGCCAGGTTTAACAAGTGTATCTTGTGTCTCTATGCGTCATTCTAGGCATCTGACAAGACATTTGTTGATAAGCTTAACACCAGCTTCAAAGGCAATTCATGCTATAAAATAGACCGACGTCGCAGCCCAGCCTTCACAGTGATGCACTACGCAGGAAAGGTGTGTCATTTATGTAAAAAAATGAATGTGAGCTGAAAGAAATGATGCGGGGGTTTAGGGAGACTGTATGTTGTCCACTCAAGTAAAACTTTGTCAAGCGCTTTGAGGTGTTTTGACAACGTGGTAAAGTGCTATTTCAAATGCAAATATTATTATTATAAATGATGATGATAATAATAGAGCACTAACGTTTCACCTCCTGAGTTTGTGTCCAAATGCAGCCCAATCCAGGTATGGAAAATTTCCTTCCCCTCTGCTGTGTGAGGTGAGTTTGTGACGTCTGTATCTGGATGGCTGGCAGAATATAAAATAATTCTTACATTTAATATAGCGCCTTATCACGTCACTGAGATGTCTCAAAGTATTTCACAGAATGTACTGCAAAGTGGACTGACTGTATTTTGTGGGCTGTGTATTTTGTGGGCAAAATACAGCAACCAATCGCGCACAACAGTGTCCCAGAAACAGTCGTGGATTGAGCGACCACATTTGAATTTGGTTTCTAGGGCAAACAAAATCCTGTAATATTGTAGTAATTGTTAATCTCATTCAGAGAGGCTGTGGAATGGCTAATGTGTGAAGCAGAAACATTCACAGCAAAGTGGGTGGGGGGAAAAAAGTTGAAATCTTGGGTTAACATTGGTTCCTCCCCAGCCCACCCTCGGCTCCCACCCCCATCTTGGGTGGCCATCCAGCATTGTGAAGCACTCTGAGATATCCTGCCGATATGAAAGGCTTTATATAAATGCCAACTGTATTAAGGTCCCTAAATATCAACACACATCCTGGTCTTTGGAAGTAGGTAGGTATGTATGTTTTGTAGATGTTAAACCATTTCTTATTTAGGGTACCGAGTAATCCAGCAGGGACACGTGTTGTGTTTGTTTTAATCTGTTGTATAACCAAATGCTGCCACAGATCTCAAGGACACTCAGACTCTGGTGTTTAACATCTGACCATAAATGCTCAGAGTATCTCCTCGGAAGCATCTAGTCAAAAACCAACACAGTCTCCATTATAAACATTAGTCTGGAATGTCAGGCTTTTACTCCAGATAATTGAATATCACCCTTAATGATATTCATAATCTTTGCATTTGATATCACGTTGATTAGACTTCTCAAAGCGCTTTACAAAATATATTGTAAAGTGAAATAACTGAGGGTGAAATGCGGCAGCCAATTGCCCTACAAACAATTGTGGATTGAGTGACCAGATTTTAAAAAAGAAAAAAAAAACCTTTTTAGAAAAAGGAGGGTTTATTTCCACCGGAAAATAATCCGCCAATCGACCAACAACCAGGTTGCTACTGACTGCTAGGTAAACAGAGGCTTGTGGAGTAAAAAACTTGCCTAAGTTTTCGCCCTGCCCGGGAATCGAACCCGGGTCCTCTCGCTTGTGAGGCGAGTGTGCTCACCATTACGCTTCAGGATTCCAAAAAGGAAACGTACAGAAATACTGGCTTCTCAAAATAAGGCTGTATTTAAGAATATGTCAAATTATGGAATGCTGCATAAAAAGAGTAAATGTTGACCCAGATGAAAATTCTCCCCACCATTTCTTAGAGGCCAGTATTACAAAAAAAAGTATGTTGTTGCTGAACTTGTGCCCTGTGTCCCCCCAGGTCCTGTACAATGCATCAGGGTTTCTGGAGAAGAACCGTGATACAATTCCAGCAAGCATTCGAGGGCTCTTCATTAACAGCATCACCCCTCTGCTAAGTGTACTCTTTTCAGGTAACTATTTCCAGCGGATCATTTCAGATTGTTGGCAGTAAGCAAATGCTGGACTTGGTATTGTGATTTTTTTTTAAAAAAATGTGTCCTGAATATTTGCATTGCGAGTAAAGTGCATTAAACTTTAGATTTCATGTGAGATACAAACAGTATTGATGACCCGAATCCAGACAGGCAAATGTAAGCGTTTTGCAAGAGGTCATTAACCTCCAGCAGGTCTGCCTGGAGAGATGATGTGCTGCACTGTGGAATGAACGGTGGGACCTGGTTAATTTCTCCCACACTTTACTGAGTTACCAATATAATATTTACAAATATACGGTTAATTCACTTTACAGTATATGCTGTGAAACACTTTGAGATGTCTCGAAGGCTTGAAAAGCACTATATCAAATGCAAGGATTATTATTTTATTTATTACCAACATTGTGGAAGGAGCGTTGACTTTGAGATCAGAAAAGGAGGAGAAAAACATGCAGGTTTAGACAATTGGAGAGCAACATAACCTGCAGGCACATTGTGTTTTATATGTCTGCCACTTTGTGGCCTGGCCTTCCTTTCCGTTTATGTGGAAAAAATGCCATTGTTCTGATTCCTTGGGATATTGATTTGTAATTACAGCTACAGTTTCAAGAACAGGAACCTTGATGCCTCAGCAAAGGGCAAAGGTGAGTTATTTCAGATCGCTAGATTAGTTCAGATGAAGAAACCCCTTTAACCCATTTGGCCTCATCCTTCCAGAGTACGCATCCGACCATCATTCCATTGCAGCATCAAGCTGTTTTATTTAAATAATGATTCCAGTGTCCTCGCCTCGATCACCCTTCCCATCAACCTTTTTCAGTCATTAATTACCCTCTGGGTAAATAAATAGTTATTAGTGTCTGTCCTAAAATTGCCCTTTGCAACTTTAAACCTGTGCCCTCTTGTCTAGACTTCTCAAATGTCTTGGTGTGTTGCTAAAATACCGTTCATGTTTGCTTTTTCAATCGTATGTTAAAAAATTGTATCCCTCAATAAAGGTGCATGGAAAGATATCTCCTTTCACCATGGGAGAACCCTAATGTCTAATCTTTGCCATTAGCTCATTCCTCATTGCTCTCCTCTGGCAGTTCCCTTATTTCACAACTGTATTGATGAATGAAAACAATTCCAGCTGAGAGTTAGAGCGTGTGAATTCATGTTCTGCATATCTTGCTTTGGTTTTCCAGTTAGTACAAAGAAATGAAGACAACTTCAACAGCACCAGGAAGCAATCTGTCGGAGCAAAGTTTAAAGTATGTGTGAATCCTGCACTTTATTTGTTTGCATTGTGATCAAAATTAGGTGCAACTTTTTTTTATGAAAGTGTTTTGTTCAAAGGAAGCGAGATACTGAACTGTTGCACTTGTCCACAGGAAGCTCTGAGGCCAACTTCTGGGCTGGCTTGTTTTTTAGCACAATTTTTTGTTTGTCGGTGTGCGTTATTACAGTAGCATGATCCAGAGCTTTTAATACATGGTCTGAATGTTAAGACATTGACCTCTATTAGCCTAAAAAAGTTCATCTCAAAAGTTCCAGGGGAAGCAGTACAAAGTTACAGTTTAGGCAACTGAGGACAGGATCTTTTAAAGACTAAAGCATCAACACTGCTTAAGATGAAAACCATAAAGACTGCTTTGCATCACCTTCACCACATGCCCGCTTCCGTTTCTACCTCACACTAAACACCTCTTTTACCAACTCTTGCCTTGACCTCTCAAATGCACTCCTCACTGGGGGTCTCGCCAGCTCCACCATCCAAAAGATACAGTAAATCCCAAACAGTCATCGCTCATTTCTCACACATACCAAACTACATTCCCATCTCTCTAACTCTGAATGGATCGACTTCAAGGTTCTCGTATAAATCTCTTCCCGCCCTATCTCTCTGATCTGCTCATTCTCATCTCCTCAGCCTGGTCTCTCTGTGCCCACAATCTTGGGACATCCTCTCGATGTGAAAGGTGCTATATAAATGCAATTTGTTGTTTTTGTCGTCATCAGGCTTTCACCTCTGTTATGCAATTTGTTCACCCAATCTCCTGGTCATTTTATTAAATGTTGGAGTCAGAGCAGAAGTGAAAGCTTGTCATCACTGACAAATTGCATTTATATAGTGACTTTCATGTTGGAAGGAAGTCCCAAGGCGCTTGACAGTCAAGGGTTTGCAACCAAGCTGGAGGTTGGAATCAAGAGGGGTGGAGGAGGGTAGATGTCCGAAACCCAGTCGAAGAGGAAGGTTTTGAGACGGGCCATGAAGGAGATCAGCAAAGGGGTGAGGGTGGGGAATGTGGGATGGATTTCCAGTGGATGGGACAGAAAGGCTCAAGGCCCAACTGCCAGTGGTGGAGCGGGCTGGGCGGGGGACGTGGAGCAAGCAAGTACATGTCAAGCGGATAGAGTGGGCAGGTTGGTAAATGTTTAGTGGATCGCAGAGGTAGGGAGGAGCAAAACCGTGGAGGGCTTTAGAATGAGAATGAGGATCTTGAACTCAATCCTCTGGGGGATGGGAAGCCAGTGAAGCCGGGCGAAGATGGGATGATCAGGTCACAGAGATGAGTACAGGAGAGGACGGGAGTGACAGAGTTCTGAATAACCCGCAGCTTGTGATTGGAAGAAATGGGAAGTCCGTTGAGCAGGGAGATCGTGGCGGAGGTGGGCAATGTGGGGAATGCATGGCACGGATGTGGTGTATAGAGGGCAGTTGAGGGTCGAACAAGACGCCAAGATTCCGTACTGGCTCGTTGAGGGGGACAGTGCGTCCGTGAACAGTGATCTGATGAAGGAGGTGCTGACGGGACTCTAGCAGGAAGGCCTCGGTCTTGTCAATACTCAACTGGAAAAAATTGGCTCTGATCCAGCATTTTATGTTTGATCGACATTCCATCAGAACAGCAGTGGTCCTGGAGTTGAGGTTGGAAACAGTGATAGAGTTTGTTGATATTAAAAAGGAGAGGATTGAGGACAGAGCCCTGGGGAACACCTGCACGTGATTCTTTTTTGTAATGCATTTTACATGTTTTAATGACCATCTAAATCCTGAGCTGTTCGTACTCAGGGTGAAGCTGGCCGTGCTCTTGCTCAGGAACTGGCATGTTGTCTGTGATGTTGAAATGGAAATTCTGCTGTTTCGTGCCCCATTTATTTTGGCTGCAGTTTATCATCAAAGAGATCGGGCAATCCAGCACATTGAGCAACAGTATCAGCATTCTATCTCTCTCTCTCTCTCAAATACAGCTTAACCCTACAGGTTACTACACTGACTTTGCAGAGTTAAAATACAATTACAATAACAATATAATGTTTAATAGTCTTAATTCTCCAATGTACAATCAGAACCAGAACCTTGAAATCCACCAAAGCTACAGAATGAACTCCTGTTGCTTTTTAATGTTGTTAAGCTGTTACAATCATCCAACCATGTTTGGTTTTAAATTTGAGGAGGAAATTTTCCTGGGCTGTGAGAGTGGCATTAATTTCAAGTATTAATTTTATTAAACCATGCCATCGCTGCCAGTTCTATTGTGTGAGTTACAGCTTGCCGTTCCTCTTTTCCCAGGAAAGACGTGGTCTAGTGAGATTTGATGTGGTTAATTATCTCATCCTTCAGGCTTACCTAAGGCTGGGGACTGCTGTGTCTAACTTCACTATTAGCTGAAACACATGGGACCCGGATTATATTTTTGTTAAAGCATTGATCAGAAGGTTTGTGGTAGAGAGATGGGAGACAGACAAATGGAAATTTCTGTAGATTTTAACTGATTTGGTTGTGGCTTTTTTGACCTGCTAAATGCCAATTCTTTCGGTGAGTCACAGAGCTCTGAAACACTTGTCTAATTTTCCCCCCACTTCTAAATGTCGGACACCAGAAAATGCACCATCGGGTTGTTTTTGCAACATTAGTCTTTATGAGATGATGGGATATTAAATGTGCAGCTCAGAATGTTCACATCATAGTTTTCTTTGGGATGTTTAAACATATGAACTAGTATTGGACTTGGGGTAAAGTGTAGGATTTCAACCTGGTTGTTGTGAAAACTCAATATTTCCCTCTAAATATAGCACTGACAGGAACTTTTTGTCTTTTGAAGCACTCTCTATCGGTGCTGATGGAGAAGATGTTTGCAGCAAACCCACATTTCATTCGCTGCATCAAATCGAACACTAATAAATTACCCAGCCAGTTGGATAGCAAATTCCTGATGGATCAGGTAAGTCTTGTGACTTGAGTACAACCAACGGTGAGAGGAAATACCAATAGCAGAGTGCAGATGAGAGTTCTCATGCTATTCAGTGTGCGGTTCTGTGTGTTTGGAATAAATTGGTTTCTAGTATTGATGCTCCTATCTGGTAAAGGTTTTTGGTTGTGTCATTAATTTAGATTCCATTTGGCTTGTGGTTCCGCCGTATGTATGTTGCTAATAACTTGAAGCTTTCTTTTGGTTATCCTGTTTTACATTCCCCTACAAATCCAATTCGACCAACAAATACAAATTAACAGCTACTTATTTCACTGTTGATTACGGGATGCTGTCTGTGTAAATTAGCTGCCCCACTTGTGTATACAGTAGAACCCCCATTGCAACCAGGTCATTTGGGTCCATCAATCCAAATCTGCCTTAAAACAAGACTTCAGTATTGTGACGATACTTATCACACGACCCGTGGCTTCACTGTGCAGAAATCCGGGTTCTGTGATTTTTAAAAAAAAGGCTGAATTTTACGCGGTTATGTTGTCACGATGTCACTAATAACAACAAATTACATTTATATAGCACCTTTCATATTGGAAGGATGTCCCAAAATGCTGGACAGTTGAGATTTTACTCCTGAGCTAAGGGGTTGGAATCAAAAAGGGTGGAGGATAGGCAGATGGGGCATGGTCTTGAGATGAACTTTGAAGGAGACACATGAGCGAGGCGAAGGTTAAATACTAGCAACTAGCATGTGCCACTGCACAAGCATTATTAACTTATTTGCAAAGTTACATTTGAAAATTAATGAACTATTGTGGTAATTTCTACAAGTTTGAATTGAATTAAGGGATATGGGATTAAGGGATATGGGATATGGGAATAAGGCAGGGTTAGGTTATTAGCTGGAGTTAGATGAGAAGATCAGCCATGATTGAATGGTGGGGCAGGCTCGAAGGCCTGAATGTCCTAGTCTTGCTCCTACATGTTATGTTATTAATGTGAAATATTTGAAAACGCCCAGTGTTTTCGACATAAGTATACACAAATATGCAATGTCTGTTGTAGTCGTTTTCGTTTGGTGTGGCTCGTACAGTTGTTTGTGAACCACACGTACAGGTCAGTACAAATCTGAGTTTGACAATGCTGGGCCAGTAAGCATCAACACTTCCTTCACCTTCTTGTTCAGGAAGTTTACTCACAAAAACACAGTCACTGCACTTTACAGTGTACCCTGTCAAATGTTTTGGGACGTCCTCCCAACATGAAGGCTGGCGAACCAAAAAGATTATTAATTTTTATTAAAAGGGATGTTAGCGGTGACCCGATGACCCAAAAGTCAGCCTTTTTTAAACTTGTGTGTCTGCAGCTTAAATAAGTGAACTTGTGCTTTAATGAAGCGCGTAATAACCGGGATCCACAACATTCATTTCTAAGTAGTGTCATTTGGGAAGCGCATTTTCATCTAAACCTCCCTTGTGATCTAAATGTTTAGCGTCATTAAGCTTGTATGGCTGACATGCTGTACTGGTTCCGTTTGTTTCAGCTGCGATACAATGGGTTATTGGAAACTATCCGAATCCGCAGAGAAGGATATTCGTGGAGACCGCTTTTTGAGGAGTTTGCGGAAAGGTACAAATGCAGCAATAACTCTGGGGAGCTGAGCTAAGGCCTCACAATGTTGTTTTGTCTCGCTGAATTCTGCTTTGGGCAGCCATGGGTGGAACGTACATTTCATTCTCACTAACCCACTCAACGTTCAACTACATCAGAGCCATGAGGCCTGAAGCCAATTCTTAATGCCAATGGACTATTCTGATTGGCGTTGGGTGTGTAGAGCCTTTAGTATTGAATGATTGACCACACTGTGGTGGAATTCATTTTAGCCTAAAATGGATGTTGTTTTTATATATGGAAACTTGTTAATGTTTCTTCTATTGAGTCCTTTTCTCCATACACATGGGCGTGAGACAGGCGATGTAGTATGATGTGATCCAATATTGATCCTTGCCTTTTTTTCTTGCAGATATGGAATATTGCTCATTACCCCCAATATATCATTTACAAAAGAAAGGTAAATAAGCCCAAATCATGGAACATTTTAAATATTAAGGATCATAGCTAATATTTGCCTCTAAGATTCACAGTCACTACACTTTACACCATATCTTGTAAAGCGCTATAAAGTTGTCCTTCTGATATAAAAACACTTTTCAAATGTAAATTTTTTTTTAAAAAAAATGATTTAATGAAATAAGATTTACAAGTGTGATGTGAGCTGTAAGCCTCCTAAACTAAACAAAGCAGTAATCGGATGCACAGCTCCTTTTTACATGGAGCCATTGAATATTTTTTCAAAAAGTAGAATCGAAAATAAGTTTGCTTTTGAACATTAAAGGTTATTTTTGAACAACAGCATTTTTCTCCTCTTTCACTTTTTCTCTTTGTTCTACCATTCCTCCATTGATTTGTTCTCTCAAAATACAGTCCATTTAGTTTCTACCTTGTGGTGCACTGTGTCTCCCATTGCAGCAGAGATTGTTGTAAAGTTGATGTGTTATCCTATGCCTTAGGCACCTGAGTTGGAATTTAGTTTGCATTCTCTGGCCTGATAAACATTTACTTGCATCAGCACAGCCTGAATATGACTTCCAATGCCAGTTTCCGCAACTAAATGGAATCATTTGCACTAGCCATCAACTTTTAACTCCTCAAACTGCAGTCCTATTTGGATTAAAATTGCTCATATGAGCACATTTTGTTTTGTGGTAATGTCCCATGTGTTTTTTTTCTAAAGGAGAAATTACTTGTAAGACTTTAAAAGGGAAATTAGCACAAAATGAACACAAAATGCACTTTAGTCTCTGAAGAAATGCAGTGTTCACTGCTGACGCGTGTAATTAAGATTATCCTTCTCTGTTTTTCGTAGTTGCCTAGCTCTTCTCCAAACCACAGACCTGAAGGACTGGAAGTGTGGGTAAGTCAAAATGGATCCAGGGCTAGTATTACTGAGACCAGTAGTGAGTGACGTGCAGTCAAGATTTGTGCACATTTCATTTTGACTTCGTTATATCAGCAGTGGACTTGCATAATTAAGATTAAGTCTCTTTGTTTCCTTTTCCTTTAGAGCTGGCTCTTGTCTTGTGCCAAATATGCAATAGATACTTTCCTAATGACAATTGTTTTATTGTTGTTGTCCACAGTCTGTTGGTACATACCCAAGCAAAATACTGTCCAGATTACTGTAGAAATAAATGATAGCGGTGCAGGGAACTTTGCTAATCGTTTGAGACCAAGAGGGTCAAATGTCGCAGAGTGTTTAATTCACTGGGGTATTGGTCTGTAAAATCTCATTGTTCACTGTGTATTGTGCATCTTTTATAGTGTAAGGTTAGCCAATGCATTCTAACATAATGCAGTGTTAGAACTACCAACTACCATCTGCCGTTGCTGGGAGTTTACAATACTGCTGTCTAAATTTAGTGGGACCTAGGATTAACAACTGGTTGATTCACAACTTTATTACCATTGACGTTTAAGTGAACTGATCTGTTCATTTTTTCCCTCACAGAAAGACTCGCCTGTTCTTTAAATATTGGCATCAAGATCAATTGGCAAAGTGCATAGAAAGGCTTGATAAGGCTGCAATAATCATCCAGAAAAGTGAGTGCCAACAATTGGTCATGATTATTCTACTTGCTCTATGGGTCTGGTTCACTAGATTTTGTGTGTTTTGAGGGCATTTTGCTATTTGGCTTGCTTCATGTCCCCACCATAACCCTGCCCTACCTGCCCCACCACCAATATCCGGGCTTTCAGCCATTTTGCCCTGTCCTGTGGAACTCCGTCCTGGAGTCCCTCTGATTCGCTCGCACCATCCCCTATTTCAAGGCACATCTCGAAATTTATCTCCTTGATCACCCTTTCCCCTCCCCTCGGCTCCCACCCTCAGCTCTGATGCCCATCCAGCACTGTGAAGAGACTTGAGACATCCTTCCAATGTGAAAGGTGCTGTATAAATTTAAATGGAATTGTATTTTCTCTCCTCTTTAATATCTCAAATACTTGCAGTCATGGTGAGGGTGGGGTGGTTGGTTGACAGCCTGTGTCCTGACATCCACGATTGCCACTGGACATCAATTTTGTCAAACATTCCCTAAATAAACACAAATCATTCATTTTGTGGCTGTTTGTGGAAAACTGCTGTGTACAAACCGACTCCACCTTTGCTTACACATACACAGTCAATGGACTTTGCAGGGGAATAAAAACTGAAGATCTTTGAGAAGTTTCAATGTGATAAAAAATCAAATGCAAGGATTATTACCAGGTGTGGCAGCCAGTTTGCACATAGCAAAGTCTCACAAACAGCCATAGAACGAATGAGCTATTTATCTGGATGATTGTTGCCTAGGACTGACTTTCCCTTTTGGAATCAGTCATGGGTTTAACACCTCATCTGAAAATGTAGCACTCCCCCAGTACTGTACTGGATTAACAGCCTGGACTGGTGAGCTCAAAACCCCTGTCATTGAACACAACCTTAAACCCAGAGGCAAGAGTACTACCAAGTTGTTGCATCGAACATCTAAAACTATCAACCATGCAAAAATTAACCTTTTGGTAGGATGGAATTGGTCTATTTGACCATCTCTTGTGTATTTGTGTCTGTGTATTTTTCAGCCTATAAACAATATCGCTGCCAGAGCAAGTACAGAGCCTTGGTGGCTGAGATGCGGCGGCAGCTGGAGAGGCAGGAGGAAGAAAAACGACAGGTTGAATTAGAACAGGAAATGGAGAGGAAGAGGAAACAGGAAATGGAAACGGAATTGGAAAATGAAAGTAGGTGATCCCAGTCATCTTTACCATCTCTCTCTCTATCTCTCTCACACAAGGCGCGGATGTTATTGATCCAGTTGTTGACTAATCAAACGGTTGCAACAAACCAAACTGTGATGGTAACAAACCCACAACTGTCTGACTCGAAGGCCAGAGTTTGACTGGCTGAGCCAGGCTGACACTCGGCTGATACTTTTTCAAACGTTTGTTCTGTTGCAGGTCCAGTGACTCCTCCAGTTCCCCTTCCAAGAAAAAGGAAGCCCCAGCCTCGACCTCGTTCTCTAGCAGTGGACAAGTTCCGCACGGAGGTGCAGCCTCCGGTTCCCAGACCCCGGAGTAAGTTATTGGAGGTGCGTATCTTTTCCTAATCCATTTGTTGTGTCTTTAACAAAAAAAAAGTCCGTTCTCTCCACACTTAAATATCTAATTATCCTGTCCTTTAGCTTCTCAGTCCTGTGTGGTCGTGGGGAGGGTTACAGCTTGTGTGGTGGTGAGTGTTCTACTACGGGGGCAGAGGGAAAGGGCAGGTAAATGGGTCTGTAAGAATTGCTCTTAAAAGATCCAGCACAGGGACGATGGACTGAAAGGTCTCCTTCTGTGTTATAGAAGCAAGCGAGAGCACCCAGGTTTGATTCCTGGGCAGGGCCAAATCTTAAACAAGTTTACTTACTCCACACACCTCTGTTTACCTAACAGTAAGTAGGAACCCGGTTATTAGTCGATTTGCAGATTGCTTTTACGTAGTTAGTAATCCTTCTACAAAAAAATGTGGTCAGTCAATCCATGACTGTTTGTGGGACACTGCTGTGCACAATTGGCTGCCGCGTTTTGTCCACAAAATACACTTTACAATATATTCTGTGAAGCGCTTTGAGACATCTCAAGCGCTATATCAAATGCAAGGATTATTATTATTATAGGTTTCTATGGAGGGTGGGAAAAGAGAGGGAAGGAGATCTAGTACTTGCATGATGGGGAATTTTCTCTGTTAGGGCTGCATTTAAGAATTTGTAAAATCTGGCCACTCGTGCATCTGATTCCCAATTAATCTCATTCTCTAAAGCGCTGTATTAAGAGGTTTCTTTCATGGGAAGGGTGCTGTATTAATAGCAGCTGCCTGGTCGCTGTTAAACTTTTCCAGACTTGTAATGGAAAAAGCCCTGCTTTAAAACTCACCTTTCTGTGATCCAGACAGTGACCTTTCAGCCCAGTTGGATCTAAACCGTGGCTGGTTTTAATCTGAGTGTTTTTCTAAGTCCCTCCACTGTGCAAGCATTGTGACCTTGCGAGTCCCTGGGTTTCTAGCCTTGCTAAAGCCCACCCGCCTCAATGTTGTGAGTGGCCGAGAGTTGATGCGGTCACATCAGGAAGAGGAAAGAGCTGGAATCACTAGAGAATTGAGCAACCTCGGTTGTTGAAATCATTCAGTCACTTTTATGCCTTCAGCAGCTGTGTAAGTCAGTGCAAAGGCTGTCCCGAGGCTGTGTTCTGACCTCAGCCCACAGGAATCTTCTAATGTTGCTTCAACTACTAACGTCACTTTTCCTGCGGCTGTTTTAAAACAAAACAAACCAGGCACCTGTGATTTAGCAAAGCTGAGCAAACCAGTCCCAGATGGTCACTTCCTACCCCCACTGTTGACTTTTCCTAACTCCGTTAATTTAAAATCATTCTGTAAAAGTGCTTAAAGATGTGAAAGGGGTTTCCATGGGGAAAGGTACTGTATAAATGGAGAGTTGCCTGACTGCCTCACCCCCAGCTGTCACATTTCTTCCTCAGACATAGTGATGGTTTTGTAATGAGAAAATCCTGTTTTCAACACGCCTTTAATTTCACCCTCAGATTCCCTCCAAGGCCTCGCCCTCATCCAGTTCTGCCACCTCCTGTCACCCCACTGACCCGGCCACTCCCTGCACTCAACAAACACTGGTCAGCTTCATTACCCCCGCTCGATACGCCCAATGGTGGATGGGCTAGAGTTCAGCCATTCTGCCGTCACTCTTTGGGAAGCCCTCCAACTTGCCCCCAATCATCCCCCACCCCCGCACTCCCCCTTACACACGCACACTTTCAAAGCCAGCCTAAGATTTGCGTCTTTGACCATGTTTTTGGTCATCTTTTTACCCCACTGTGGCCCCCCCACCTCCAGGGGTCTCACATTATTCCCAGCCAGTGTTTTGAAACATCTTCACAGCAGGAAACAAAACAACAACAAAATATATTTGTACAGCAGCTGTAGGACAACCCAAGGTGCTGGACAGTTAAAGGTTTGCACCCTAAGCTGGGGGTTGGAATCAAGAGGGGATAATCGGTAGGGGTGGTGGGGGTGGCTGAAGGCACGGTGGAAGAGGAAGGTCTTTACACAGGCCTTGAGGGAGGTGAGGGAGGGGACGAAGCGGAGGGATTCGGGGATGGATAAGCATTACATAAACGTAAATTGTACTGAACGCACAGCCAGAGGGACCTTCGTGTTTGCTACAATTCGCTGTTTATTTCCTTCAGGCAACTCCCTTTGACAACCCGCGGGACCACATAGCCAGTAGTTTGTCACAGGTCAGCCTGCAGGAGGTCGAGGAGCAGCGTGTTCTGAAGAAGAGAGCTACGATTCGATGGTTCAACGAGACTCAGGCTCGCAAAGTCGTTCAGAACGGCACTTTTCCCTCCTGGTTCCATGGGATGATTACAAGGCGGTGAGCCTGGTTTTAATTCCAGTGTCTGTGTGTGTTTTTTATTTCAGGTTTCTCCCCAGCTCCTCTCTCTCGAGCAGCTTTGATTTTCATTATGCGAGATTCCATTGCCATCAACAGGTCTCTAGTGTCAACCTCTTTCTTCTCCCCAATCCCCACCCCAAAGTGGTTGTCATTCTTGGTGTAGTCCTAAGCTCCTCCCTACATAAGCTTCGGACCATCCAGAACCCTGTCCTCTCCCACACCAAACTCCACAACAACAATAACAAATTGTATCTTACAGCGCCTTTCACGTCGGGAGGACATCCACAAACCCAACACCACCACATATTATTGTTCGTTCACTTCGTGGCAGGACATTGCTGTGCAAATTGGCTACCGCCTTTGCCCACAAAAATACACAGGTTGCTACACTTCAACAACAGCAACTTGTGTTTATATAGCACCCTTTTTGTGGGGCAGTGTCCTGGAGAGCTTGATCCTGTGTAGGTCTTGGTAGACTTAGAAATATTATTAATTAATATTATTAATATTATCTTTCTAATCTGAGTTTAAAACCCGACTCTAAAATGGTTGAGGGTATTAATCTATGTTTTATTCGTGTTTCACATTTTTACCCTCACCTTTCTTTGATCCTCCGCCTCTCTCCACACAAGTTGTTGTTGTCCAGTGCCTTGGGACATCCTCTCAAAGCGAAAGGCGCTATACAAATGTAATTTCATTGCTGTTGTTTTGTTCTTGGGTTCTCTGTTATCCTCTCTTTCCTCTCTCCCCCTCACCCCCTTCCTCCATTACTATTCACATCATAATTTAAGGTTGGCTATTGGCTTGTTCCCAGGCACTTATTCAGAGGTGGCTGAGTGGGTGTAGGTGGGGGGGAATATGAGGTGTGAAGTCACGTGGAGCATAAATATCAACATGGATTAATTATTATACATAATATTATTATTATTAATGATAATCATTGCATTTGATATAATCGCCTTTCACATTGGAAGTTCATAGAATTATACAGCCATTCGGCCAATCATGTCTGTGCCGGCTCTTTGGAAAGAGCTATCCAATTGATTCCCACTCCCCCGCACTCACCCCAGAGCCCTGCAACCTTGTTCTCCCCAAATAATTATCTACTTCTCTCCTAAAAGTTGTTATCGAATCGGCTTCCACCACCCTTTCAGGCAATGCATTCCAGATCCAAACAACTTGCTGTGTGAAACTCTCTGACCTCCTCTCTCCTCAAAACAGTATCCGTTGCCTTTGTTCCTCCTCGTCCCCTGAATCCTCTGCTCCACCCTCGGCGGCCGTGTCTTCAGCCACTATGCCCAGAGGCTCTGGAACTCCCTTGCTTTCTCCCTTCGCCTCACTCCGTCCCTTCCTATTTTCAGGTCTCTGCTGAAGACCTTTCTTTTCGACTGCGCCTTTGGTTATCTTCCCCCCCCCCGGCTCGGTCTCAGGATCCGTTGCTGTAAAGCGCTCTGAGACGCCGTCCGGCGTGGAGGGCGCTATATAAATCTAAGTTGTTGTTGAAAAAAATTCTCCTCACCACCCCTCTGTTTCTTTTAACAACTATTTTAAATCGGTGTTCCAGGGTTACCGACCCACCCATAGTTTCTCCTTGTTCACCCTATCGAATCCCCTCATAATTTTGAAAACTTCTATTAAGTCTCCTCTCAACCTTCTCTGCTCCAAGGAGTATAATTCTCGCTTCTCTAGCCTCTCCTGATAACTGAAGTCCCTCATTCCTGGTACCATCCTGGTAAATCTCCAATGCCTTGACATCCTTCTTAAAGTGTGGTGCCCAGAACTGAACACAGTCTCTCGCTGAGGCCTAACCAGTGTTTTATAAGCTTCAACGATTTACTTATATGAACCCCCAGGTCTCTCTGTTCCTTCACCCACTTTAAGATTGTACCATCAGCTTATATGGCCTCTCCTCATTCTTCCTCCCAAAATGCATCACTTCGCATTTCTCCACATTAAACCTTATCTGCCACCTGTCTGCCCATTTCACCAGTCTGTCCATTTGCAGTCTGTTACTATCCTCCTCACTGTTTTCCTAGCTTAGTGTCATCTGCAAACTTGGAAATTGTACTCCCTATACCCAAGTTCAGGTCAGTTATATAGATCAAAAACAGCAGTGGTCCCAATACCGATCCCTGGGGGACACCACTGCACACTTCCTTCCAGTCAGAAAAACAACTGTTCACCACCACTCTTTGCTTTCTGTCTCCCAGCCAGTTCTGTATCCATGCTGCCACTGTCCCTTTAATACCAAGGGCTTCTATTTTGCTTACAAGTCTCGTATGTGGCATTTTATCAAACGCCTTTTGAAAATCCACATAAACTACATCAACTGCACTACCTTCATCCACCCTCTCCGTTACTTCATCAAAAATCTCTATCATATTTGTTAGATATGATTTGCTTTTAACAAATCCGTGTTGGCTGTCCTTTATTAACCCATATATCTTTCTAAATGAAAATTTATTCTGTCTCGGATTAGAGTCTCTAGAAGTTTCCGCACTACTGATGTTAGGCTGACTGGCCTGTAGTTCCCAGGTTTATCCTTCTGCCCCTTTTTGTACAGGGGAGTAACATTTGCAACTCTCCAGTCCTCTGCACTACCTTGGTGTCCAAGGAAGATTGAAAGATGGTGGCCAGAACCTCCTCTATTTCCACCATTACTTACCTCAGTAACCTAGGATGCATCCAGTTCAGACCGAGTGACTTATTTACCTTGAGCACTGACAACCTTTTTAGTACCTCCTCTCAGTTTATTCTTATCGTATCCAATTTCTCTACCCTCTCCTCTGATACTGTGGCATTGGCTGCATGCTCTTCTTTTGTGAAGACAGATGCAAAATATTCATTCAGTACATAAGCCATGCCCTCTGCCTCCACAAAAAGATTTCCTTTTGGTCCTTGATTGGCTCCACCCTACCTTTGACTAAGCTTTTATTCTTTATAGGCTTATAAAATACCTTAGGGTTCCCTTTTTTGTTACCCCTAATCTTTTCTCATACAATCTCTTTGCCCCTATTATTTGCTTTTTCATTTCTCCTCTGTACTTTCTATATTCCATTTGATTATCTTCTGATAATAAAATCTTAAAGTCTTTCAGAAGACTTCACACTGTAAAATGCAGTGATTGTGCAGTTGGGCTGAATAGTCTGTTTCATTACCCAACACTGCGTAAGTGCTTTGTAAGGAGGGCAGGTTGTGTAGGAGCTGAATAGGTGAGGTTAATGGACACTGTTTCTAAATCTTCCCCTTTCCTACGTCTCCTTAGATCAGAGCTGTTTTCCTGCCTTATTGCAAGCTGTGCCTCCAGATTACAATAGGCTTTTATGTTGCTTTTGTTTACAGGGAAGCTGAAGATTTGTTGGCAAATCAACTATTTGGCTGCTTCCTCATTCGTGTCAGTGGCAGCAGGGAAGGATACACTTTGACTTTCAGGTAAGTTCTTCCATTCAACCTTTACGCTATGGAGTCCTCTAGCTCAGTGGTTAGAGCACTCGCCTCGCAAGCAAGAGATCTGGGTTCAATTCCCGGCAGGGTGAAAACTTGGGCAAGTTTCCTTACTCCACACTCCTGATAATAGTCCCTCAAGAAAAAAAATAAATTGATCACTTCAATCCACGACTGTTTGTGGGACACTGTTGTGCGCAATTGGCTGCTGCATTTCGCCCACAAATATACAGTCAGTTCACTTTACAGTATATTCTGTGAAGCACTTTGAGACGTCGAGAAGACATGAAAAGCACCATATCAAATGCAAGGATTATTATTATTAACACCTCTATTTCCCCTGCTTTGTTGCAATCCCCCCCTTTGTTGCATCGTTAACATCTCTTTAACTCATCATCCCCTGTCCTCTACCCCATTTTCTCCTTTGTCTTCTTTGCCCTTCCTCCCCCTCTCTGTTAGCCCTTAAAAGCCTCTCCTTCCAACATGCCCCAGTTCTAACATGAAAAGCGCTATACCAAATGCAAGGATTAGTATTATTTCACGTCAGTAAATAAATGCCTGCCCACCCGCCTTTCATTTTTAACTTGTGGTGTGAAATCCATCACCTGCCCTAACAGGTGTAAGGAAAAAAACTACTACTAATAATTATAATTGTATTTGATATAGCGCCTTATCACATCTTTGAGACGTCTCAAAGTGCTTCACAGAATATACTGTAAAGTGAATTGACTGTATATTTTGTGGGCGAAACATGGCAGCCACTTGTGCACAGCAAACAAAGAATTGAGGTTTAAAGTGGTCTACTGTGATTTCAAACCAGGCTCAATAGGGTAAAGGGCACATTCCTAAAATCATATCCACAGTATTGGCTATTATTTTATGTAGTAACGTCACATTTCTATCAGCCTGTCTCCTGCACGCTGGCTCAGTTTTGTTGATAGGCCCAGGCCACACTTTGACATATTTGATATCTATGTTGCAATATCTCACAAGCAAAGTGAGTGAGTGAGAGCTCAGCAGACTTCTGCTCACGTCCTCCATCCAGCCCGCCCCACCATCAGCTATCGGGTCTTCAGTTTCTCTGCCCCCACCCTTTGGAACTCCATCCCACAGTCCCTTCGCCTCGCTTCCTCCCTTGCCTCCTTCAAGGCCCATCTCAAAACCTTCCTCTTAGACTGGGCTTTTGGTCACCCTCCTACCCCTACCCTCCCCGTCCTCCACCCTCCTGATCCCAATGTCCAACTCGGGTCCAAATTCCTGACTGTCCAGAACTTTGGGACTTCCTCCCAATGTGCAAGGCACTATACAAATGTAGTTTGATGTTGTTGATGAGTGTTGATGTGCTTTTAACAGCCTCATCATCCCGAAGGCGGTGGTTTGTTTTTTTAACCTCTTATGTCAAGCACTTTGTTTCTAAACTCTGGAACACTCTCCCTCAATCCTCCACCTTGTCCCCTCCTTTCCCATCTTCAAATCCGCCTGAAGAACTTCCTCTTCGATCGTGCTTCTGGTCACCTCCCACTGGGTCAGTTTCTGAAAAGTGGGGATGTAGGTGGTGGACAAACAGAAGAGAGGGTGTGTGAAACTGTTCAAAGGAATGGGAGTTAAACCGAGACCCCGTCTGCTTCTTCAGGTGGACATTAAAGATCCCATAACACTATTCGAAAAGAGAAGGGAGGGTCTCCCGCTGTCCTGGCCACCATCCCCCCAAATAGAATTAAGCATTCAATTCATGGAGGTTTGTGAAAAATTGCTGTGTGTGAAATTGGCTGCTGTCAAAAACACACAGATAATGCACTTTACAGTATATCATGTGAAGTTATTTGAGACATCCTTCTGATGTGAAAGGCGCTCTGCCAAAGGCAAGGATTATTATTATACAACAACTTGCATTTATATAGCGCCCTTCACACCGGTAGCTTCCTGGAGAGCTTGACAGTGGGGGAGTCTGACCCTGAGCCAGGGGGAGAGGGAAGGGGGAGATGACCGTAAGCACAATCAAAAAGGAATGTCCTTAGGCAGGATTTGAAAGTGGGGAGGGAGGTGGAAAGGTGGAGGGATTGAGGGAGAGAGTTCCAGAGTTTCAGAGCGTAGTGGCTGAAGGCACAGTCACTGGTGGTGGAGGGGACGAGGGACAAACACGAGGCCTTAGCCAGCTGAGCGAAGCTGAGCGATTTGGGAGTGGGGGGTAAGCAGGTTGGATAGGTAGGGTGGGGCGAGGGCATGAAGGGATTTGACAACGAGTGAGAGGATCTGGAAATCGTTCCATTCAGTAATTGGGAACCAGTGGAGCCTGGCAAGGACTGGTGTGATGGGGATACAGAGTTTTATTCTGATTATTTACTCCCCGAATCGCATTGAAAGCATCTGAAAGAAAACTGCCCTGAAGGTGATTGTTTTTTAAGGTTGTTTGTCACTGTGGACACATTGCCTTATTCGGGACACTTTAAACTATCACTTCCTGCTTTAAGTCGCATTGATCTCACACAGAGCAGCCTGTAACATGGAAACTGTTAAAATAACAGCTCTGCAGTGGTGTCTGTGTCTCTGTGTGAATTGCTGTAGTACTTGTCCACCAATCACTAGGCCAATGAGGTTTCACGGTTTACTCTCACTTGTGGAAACAATGTTGGTAGGATAATAATAATAAACCTCGCATTTGATAGTAAGAGCTGATGAAGTGGTACAAATATAACTGAAGTCGCGAACCCCCTTTGCTAGTGCAATCAGCGTTGCTGATTTTTTTTCTACAGTCTCATTGTATGGCTGTTGTTTTACGTGCAAGGGTTATTTATTTAAGTGTTGGTGAATCGTGAGAATATTTTATGATAACTTTGTGTGAAGTGTTGAAATAATTCAGCCACTGGAGAGTGAACATGGGGACTTTTGTACAACAACTTGCAATCATATGGCACCCTTCACGTAACATAACTTCTTGTAATTGGGAATGGCCTTTTAAAATGTTTGTTTCATGTCCCCTGTCTTGCCTGCTCCACCATTGACCGGCGAGTATTCAGCCTATCTGCCGTTCTGGAACTCCATCTCACAGTCCCTCTGCCTCGCCCCCTCCCATGCCTCCTTCAAGACCATTCTCAAGACCCTCTTCTTCGACAGCGCTTTCAGTCACACTCCTACCCCTATCTTCCCTGCCCTCCACCTCTCCTGATCCCAGCCACCAGCTCGGGTGTGGATCCCTGACTCTCCAGCGCCTTGGGACATCTTCCTCACATGAAAGGCGCTATATAAATGTCATTTGTTGTTGTTTTACATTGGTCCTGGTTTCAATGTGCTGTATAGTTATCCAGTAAATTGGCTTTCATTATCTGATGGATCCAATGTGTGAGTTACCTTTTATTGAAAGTTCTCATCCTTTTCATAAATGACCTGAACGGCAGATGCATAGAGTAAGTGCACAGTGTAGAAGTCTGCAATGCAGTTGGACAACAACAACATTTGTAAAGCGCCTTTCACGTCGGGAGGACATCCCAAGGTGCTGGACAGACAGAGTTATGGACCCGAGCTGGGGGTCGGGGTGAAGGAGGTTGGAGGGCAGGGGGGAAGCAGGGAGATCAAAAGCACGGTCGAAGAGGAGGGTCTTGAGGTGGGTCCTGAAGGTGGCGAGGGAGGGGGTGAGGCAGAGAGTCTGTGGGATGGAGTTCCAGAGGGTGGGTGCAGAGTGGCAGAAGGCCCGCCTGCCAATAGTGGGGCGAGCAAGGTGGGGGGCGTGAAGCAGGCCGGAGCCCATGAGCGGAGGAAGCGAACAGGGTGGTAGGGGATTAGGAGATTGGAAAGGTAGGAAGGAGCAAAAACATTTGGATCAAAAGGCGATAATTTAAAATAAGAATGTAATTAACTTTCACTTTTTTTTCCCATTAAAAACAAATCTCTCAAGTGGCGCAGATCGGTGCAGACACTACATGATCGAAATGCAACCGAATGGAAAGTATGTGATTTTGGGAGAGGACCGAGCCCATCCATCACTGCCAGATTTAGTGGAGTATCACAAAACTGTTGGGATTCAGCCGTTCATGGAAGTTCTTACCGTTCCTTGTGGCCAGGTATGAGTTCATTTGCCTTAACAAAGTGTGATTACTCTCAATCTGTGCATCTCGGTAACTATTTGCACGTTTGATATGCTTTTGGAACGAATGCCACTGGAAAGGTGTTTATCTGAAACTTAATGGATTACTTTTTTTTGCAGTGACAGTATTTTTGCACTGATAGTAAAGTCCTGTAGCTCAGTGCTTAGAGCACTCGCCTCACAAGCGAGAGACCTGGGTTCGATTCCCGGCAGGGCAAAATGTTGGGCAAGTTTCCTTACTCCACATGTCTCTGTTTACCTAGTAATAAGTAGGAACTGGCTGTTAGTTGAATGGGGGGATCGCTTTTCCAGGGGTAATAATTCCTTCAAAAAAAGTAATAAATTGGTCACTTCAATCCACGACTGTTTGCGGGACACTGCTGTGTGCAATTGGCTGTCACGTTTCGGCCACAAGATATACAGTCAATTCACTTTACAGTATATTCTGTGAATCACTTTGTGACATCTCAAAGACATAATATGGCGCTATATCAAATGCAAGGCTTATTATTATTATTCATTTACGTTTAGATTTTTTTCTCTTCTCTCCATTGTCAATTCAGCCAAACTAATCCATGCTGGTGTTTATTCCCACACAAGCCTCCTACTCCATTCTTGCATATCTCTCTATTCTGGTGATGCATTTTGTCCTAACCACAATTGCTAGCAGTTAGATCCACATTCTTACCACTCTCTGGATAGAGAAGTCCCTCTTAAACTCCCTTTTACATCTGTTACTAGCTATCTTGTATTTATGCCCCATTGTGTTGAACTCATCAACAAGTAGAAACAGTCCATCAACTTCCACTTTATTGAATCCTTTAAATAATCTTAAATGCCTCTATTAGGTCCCCTCTCAATTATCTCATTTTCAGGTAATAGTGAAAGGATTGGTTTCAATCTCAAGAGAGATGTGTAATTGTTAATGGAAATATCTTTTTTATGGAGGCAGAGTAAGTGCACTTTGTGTAAGTGGCTATTAGCCATTGGTTTGAATGCCAGTATCTCTTTTATTGAAAATCAAAACCGTGAGTGGTGTCTGTGTAAATGTTAAACGTGTGGCACATTTTAATGAAGATTATATTTTATTTATGAAAACTTCTATTCCGTATAAAGCAACACAAACTAAATGCTTATGATCGATCAGCCAGACTGGCCAATCAGTAGAAGTTGGAGGGGTGGATTGGTCACTGGGGCAGGAACCCTTCCCGTTCAGCTTCTGTCAACTATGCAAGCAAAATCTAATGGGCAGGGTGGCTCTAGTTGGGCAAGCTGCTGGAACCTCGCCAGACCGTGCTCTCAATGGTAGGCTATGTTAAATCACAGCAGGGCCTCAACGCATGCTCTGGGGTTCCAAGCCGTTGGAAGCCTTGCCAACCGGAGCCACATACTCTCTGGAACTTGGACACTGCTTCATAACTGGTCAATGAAACAGTGGCGACTGGGTCTGCTTCCAGGTTGTTGGGTCATAGCTCAAGTCACTTCCTGCGCTTTGGCATATTATGCGCAGGAAGTGCCACTGACGCCACTTCCTGCATGCTGCACATGTGTGCTGTGAGCAAGAATGGCCACTGATGGCACTTCCTTTCACTAAGAATCACCAGTGAGATTTCCTGCGCATAATTAGATCCAACCGTTTTCTCACTCGACAAAGCAAGTGCCGTATGCGGGCTTGAGGTGATTAAGGACTGGCCAAACAGGCACATTCTTGAAATGATTGGCTACATTCCTAAATATTTGTTTGAGTCTTAGGTGGACCAAGTGTCCCAAGAAAAGCTGCAAATGCTGCAAATCCACATTGGCTCAGTCAGCGTCTCTATTCGCAACGTGAGCCAGTCTTTCTCTTCCATGTCATCGGGGTATTCAGCTTTACTGGTTATACTTCTGTCTATTGCTGGGTTTGTCTTTCGTTTCCTCCTTAGTGGAGTTCTGCACAGAAATGCTCCGTCTAGCAGGCTAGTCAGGAACCTATCACAAATGAGCGTGAAGGAGATTTGGAGTGGGGGGCAGAGTGGGAGAGAAACTTGCAAGCTCATTTTGCCGTTAACATTTTAAGAACGTAAAGAAGATGTTAAATCTTAAATTCAGTTTTAAGTTAGAAGCCAATTCTTTTTTAAAAAAATAAAATGACCTGCAGAAACCCGGCTTACAAATGAAGACTGGATTTAAGAATTTTCCACAATTTTGCTCAGTCATTTAAAGACTAAATGGACTCACAGCCTGTGACTAGGTGGAATTTATGGCTTATGATTCAGCAATTTTTGATTATGAAACTCCAGGTTCGGAGTACAATGGTCTGTTACCCAATAAGAAACAAAAATTTGGGAACAACAGTGTACCATTGTTTAAGAGTTAAGAGAAGGGAGTTTCTCTCAGTGTCCTGGCCAACAATCCACCAAATAAAATTGATCACTCCACGACTGTTTGTGGGACATTGCTGTACACAATTGGCTGCTGCATTTCGCCCATGAAATACACAATCACTCCACTTTACAGTATATCCTGTGAAGCGCTTTGAGACGACTGAACGGTGTGATAAGGTACTATATCAAATGCAAGATTATTATAACAGTATTATTATTTTCTTGTTTGAAGATGGTGAGATGACAAATGCAATGCTTTTTTTTCTTCCTCTCTCTCCCTCTCCCCTTCCCTTTCAGAAATGTGACAAAGAGACCGACTATGAGGAACTCAAAAATTTTCTGGGGAAAGTGTCTCTGGAGGAAGGGGCCAGCTGTGCTGCAGGAGGCAATCTCTCAGGCCACGCACGAGTGCACAGTGAGCTGTCCAAGCTTTTTGTGCCTCCCGAGGTTCAGGCATCGATGCAACCCAAACTGCCTCCGATCCTGAAAAAGATCTCGGATAAAAAGTTTCAGACTGCTTCGAAAGAAACGACTGGAACAAATTCTGAGAACTGGGCTGAGGAAGAACATCAAGGAAGCAAACGCACGTTCCCCAGACTGTACCCATCAATTCGCTTGGCGATGAGGGAGATTCAGCAAATTTATGAGGCACGTGCATCTCTAGTCTTGTCATGTGAAAATAGGTTAATAATAATCCTTGTATTTCAGGTGTCAGCCTGTCTTAATCAGTTAGGACTTTGAACTCATATAGTTTAGGCTGACTGTACAATGCTGGGGCTGTGCTGCATTGTCAGAGGTGACGTCCTTCGAATGAGATGTTAAAACCGAGGCCCCGTCTGCCTGCTCAGGTGGATGTTTAAAGATCCAATGGCACTATTTGAAAAGAGAGTGGAAAATGCCCTAGCCTGCAGCTCCCCACGTACAATTTGATCATTCACTTCATGGCAGTTTGCAGGACATTGCTGTGCCATTGGCAGCTGTGTTTGGTCCACAATATACAGTCCATTACACCATTGACAGCCTTAGCAGCGTCCTGCATTATCTGGCTTGGCCCTTCACCTCCGTCACACACAAATAATAAATTCACTGGGTCGGTCCGTGCTGAGTTTGCTGATCTCAGCATGTGAACACACAGAAAGGCTCAATTGGTCCGAAGCCTTCCCAGGTTGCGGGAGGGGAAAATTAGCCCAAGATTATTGATCCTGATCCCTCTCTAGCACCCTCTAGTGTGTGTGTGTGTGTGTCTGTGGCAGTGGTGACGCTGCTTCCTGCAATTGAATGTTCGACCTCTGGCTGTTTTAACAGTAAATATTTTGTGTCTACAGAAATCATCTTTTGACGAGCATAATAGTGATGAGGAAGCTGTGTCTGAACTGCCACCAAAACTACCGCCAAAGCATTACAGACCTCAGTCGATCCCACCAGAGTGTTACAACAACAAATAAATGGTTTGTCAAATAAACATCAAACGTATTTTAGCCATTCTACCCGAGGACCAATCTCAAAATATTTAGATTGCACCAACACAGGAGTAATTTAACAACAAATGTGGAGAATCCTAAAGTAAACAGGGAGAAATTATTTCCATTGTCCAGTTGGTCAGTAACCAGAGGGTAAAAACTTAAGGTACTTCTCAAAAGGACAAAGGGAGAGTTAGAAGAATTGTGTTTCACATAAGGTGGGTTATCAGGAATTCTCTACAGAGGATGCTGGTTCAGGTAGAATCCATATGAACTTTTTTAAGAAGCAAATAGATAAGATCAATCCTTTAAAGGAACTAAATAATGTAGACCATGACAAGCTGGTTTATCTTGTACTGAACAGTAGAACCAGAGGGCCTGGTCTGTGTTTGATTGGGGGTAAATTCAGAACTAATCTGCAGAAATGCTATTTCAGTGAGCGAGTAGTAAACGTATGCAACAGGCTCCCTAAAAAGATGGTGGAAGCAGCAAGTGTCAATTATTTCAAGAACAAATTAGATAGATTCCTGTTAGGAAATAATATCTTGGGATATAGTATGTAGTTTAAGACATGACATGTGTATGCGACTACTAGGATGGTGGAAGGCAAACGGAATGGACCTCGGTCTTTCGCCCAGCAAATACTTATATTCTAAATATCTGAAAGGGAGAAATATGATAGGATTTGAGGAAGCAGCAGGAGATTGGTACTAAGACGAGAGCTGGCCAGCACAGACACGATGGATTGAAAATTTCACTAATTTTGTAGAAGGAGAGAAAGGAAAAGCTGGAAATTGAGAAGTTTCTTTCCACCAAGACATAATAATAATCCTTGCATGTTGTTCACACATCTCAAAGAGCTTCTCAGGAGTATTGTAAAGTGGATAGACTTTACAGTAGTGGGTAAACCCCCTGCCCAGGAATCAAACCCGGGTCCACTGACTTTAGATTTGCCGCAAAGTTACCATTTAACCAATTTTCTTCCAGTGAGGATTGGGAGTCGGGAGCTGAGGATCACTGAACCTTTTCAGACGTGTATACTGCTGCAAAGAAGATTTCATTCCAGTTATTTTCTGACGTAAAGGAATTGCTGGGAGCACTGTGTCCAACAGTATTTTTGCAAAAGAGTATTGTCGATCACGTGCAAAAAAAGAAAGCTGCTCACTGCTAGAAATCATTCACTCCAATTAGCATATCTGTACTGTACATGATGTTTTGCACATAATGATCTTGTTTTGAATCTGTATTAAAGGAAATAGTCCAACAAACCTATCTTGTTTTGTAATATAAAAACAATGCAGTATTGAATTCTGGTACTGTACCTAATTGCGTACTGCACTGCTGAGTAGGTTTTTGTTTGTTTTTTGTGTCATTCATGGGAGGTTGTAAAATTAATGTCTGATGGAAATGTACCCAGAAATGTGCAAACTGATGTTTGCTATTGAGAAGTAAACTGAAATGCCAAAAATGTTACCATTGTGGACCTGTTGGTTTTATATACCTAAGACTATATGTGTGCACAGCTGAACTTTGTCTCTACCTGCAACCCTGCCACATTCGCTCATAAAAGACTGTACTTCACAGTATATCCAGTGAAGCACCTTGGTACATCAATGTGAGAGGCAGTATATCAAATGCAAGGCTTATTATTATTCTCGTTGCTTGCTCACTGTTTGTCTGTACTAAGTAAGATTGCACCAGTCACCCTGTGATCAATGCTATCATTAACCAGGCACCATGGAGCTGCTTTGAGTCACTGGTGCTGACAATGAAGAACTTGACATCTACATGACGCTGAGTGAGGTAGAAAAATATTATGAGAATTCCAAACAATGTTGACAAAGGGAAGGATTTGAAACATTTATACTCTAGACGGTTGTTAGAACTAACATAATACTGAATAACTGCCAATAAAACCCATTGGTGCACTACTGCACAGGTGTCAGCACTCTCGCTTCTGAGTCAGAAGTTGGCAGGTTCGAGACATTTGAGCTCACAGTCTAGGCTGACACTTCAGAGCAGTGCCTTCAGTTCCCCTCTCGACTCTCTACCCCCTCCTCGCTCCTTCCCTCCCCTCACCCTGACCATTTCCCCCCTGCTCGGGTCCTGACCCAACTGTACAGCGCCTTGGGACGTCCTCCCGACGTGAAAGGCGCTCTATAAATGGAATCTTGTTGTTGTGTTGAAGTGCCCCAGTCCACCGCTGAAGTCATTGTAGTGGAAACGACCCCTGAACCACCATTCTACCTCTGTGAAGTACTTGTTCACCTCCACCACGTGATACCAAATTATTAGACGGACAGCATTTTCTCAGAGCAAAAAGTCCCAGAATTATGGCTGTTGATTTAATGGGTATTTTGACTGTCCCCCCCACACCCCATCCTTCTTAGCACCCATTCCTCTTCTCACTACACCACACACACACTCCTAGTGATGAAGTTCATCCCTGTTCAGAGATCAAAGAAGGAACCTCTTTGAACAATTGCATTGGATGCTCAGAGCAGATTTGATTTCAATTAGTTTCTGTATTTGTGCCCCCAAGGTCTTTTTCCTTACTTTGATGCTGTGACTACATGCTTTTCTCAATGAATTATAATCTACAAACCTGTTTTCAGCTCCTGGACAGATGGGATCAATTTCAGTTCATCAAAACAACAGATCAGGATGCAGAGTCTTCCACTAAACTCGTTACATCAATGATCTGACTCTTTAGACCTCAGCTAAATCCCCAGCGTGGTAATAACTGAAGCTAACCAACAAGTCTGTAATAACTTGTGGGTTCAATAAGTCCCTTTTTAAGTTTTTAAAGGTGCAATGTTTTTGGGGTCGGAACAACCCTCCCATGGCTGATGCCTCCTTGCTTTGCATTACGTCCTATCTTAACATTAGCACCAAATATCACCATTTTGTTAAAATGTCCTTGCTTCACTCTCCAACATTGATTATAGATTATAATTCATTATTATATAGAAGAATTAAAACTTAAATGTGTCCTGTCAACACCTGCTCATGACGTCTCATAGTTTTATTACCCACTGTTGAGGGTTTACAGACATAACATTTTCACATCAGCTTTTATATTAACTACAATAACCTCATTAACAGCAATTGCATTTTCCCAAGATTTAGATGTTTTGCTTTAGAATTAGATGATGGAAGTAACATACTGAACACTGATGCAAAATTATTTCAGTCTTTTGCTCTTGTTTATTCTCCCCCATTACACTGTCTATCTCCCTTTTACACCCTTGGCTCTCACTTTATTATTGTATCTCAATCCTCTTTCTCACTCACTTCCTTGCACCTCCTGTTCTCTGTGATTCTCCACTTTCACCCCAACATTACTGTGCACCTAATCTCTGGGTTTCCCTTTCTCTATCCTTACAGCTTCTCTATCTGTCTTTAAATCCTTCCTAAAAACCTACCTCTTCAACCGTATCTTTGGCCACTTCCACCTTGCTCAGTGTCTGTCCCTGTCCCTATGAAGTGTTTAGATGTAACCCTACATACAAGGTGCTATATAAGTGCAAATTGTTTTTCTCTCCCCTTTACTCTCCATTCACTCTGTTATTCTCTTTGATTTCTCTACCTTTCGCCTTATGTTCTTCTCTCCTGCCCTCCTCCCCTTCTGACCACAACTCCCAGCTCGGGTCCAAAACCCGATTGTCCAATGCCCTGAGATGTCTTTCCGATGTGAAGGGCGCTATGCAAGTGTAACTTGTTGTTGCTGTTCTCACTGGTTTTCTTCCTTTCCTTTTGTCACTTTGTTCTCTCTCTCTCTGTTTCTTTGCTATTGCAACTTGCTGACCATTGTTTTTATATACTTCTGGTTTTCATTCCTAACAAAGAACGTACAGTTTTGGAGCTAAAACAGAGCTAAAGTACAATTCCTATTTTCTGTTCCCCATCTGGGTTAGATTATTGTGTTAATTTCCTTGCTGACCGCAGATTGCCACACTTCACAGTAAAACTCCTTCTTTTGAGATGTTTTGATGACATGATAAGGAGCTGTAACAAATGCAAGGATTACTATTCTATGTTAAAATACATTTGAAGCAGATCACAAAGCTGATCCCCAAATCCTACAGGATCATGTGTCGTTTAGATTCAATTAAACCCATTCAATGCACGGAAATGTAAGCTTTCCTCAAAAGGCAGGGCTGATGTTAACATACCTGTAAATTGTGAGCGTGGGTCTGTTTGACTTACGGAAATGTACCTGTTTCGATCAGGTGTCAATACTCTGGACATAGGTATGAAATGAGTGAGTCTTGGCTGACCAGCAACTGCTTCCTCTGCACATGTCTCCATCTAATTGGAGTTGGATGCTGCGAATTGCGAGTCATGTGTTGATTCTGTCACTGAGTGCAACCCCTGAAAATAAACATTTGTTTTCCAAAAATATATAGTTCCAGCTTGTAAGTGATCAAACAAGTAGATAGCAATTAAAAGGACGTATTCAATCATTTGCCTGGAGCCTCTGTAAAGTTGTGGTGTCAGCTAGGCTGTTAGTAGTGCTCTTGCCTCACAATCAGAAAGTTGTGGGCTTTAGCTCTACATCAGGACTTTGAGCTTCTATCTAGGCTGACAAGCCAGTGCAGTTCTGCTAGTGCACTGCATTGTTGGAGGTGGTACCCTTGGAAAGAGACATTAAACCAAAATCCTGTTTGCCTGTTCAGGTGGACATTAAAAGATTTTGTGGAATTTAACACACGAACGAGGATTTTGACCTCAATCCTCTGTGGGATGGAGAGACAGTGGAGCCGAGCAAGGATGGGAGTGATAAGACTTCACGAAACCTAGTGCGGGAGAGGATATGGGTTGCATAGTTCTGGATAGTCATGATTCGCCCCGATCCCGACCCCTAGCTGGGGTCCAAATCCCTGAGTATCCAGCGCCTTGGGACGGCCTCCCGACGTGAAAGGCGCTATACAAATGTCATTTTGTATTGCATTGTCCGCAGGTTGCGTAGGGAAGAGATGGGGAGCAGAGTTGGCATCGTCACGCCTAGACATAAACATATATTACTGGAGGGGGTTTCCCATGATTTTTAAAATATAAAACTAAGAAACTATATTAGTTAAAATTAAGCACATACCAACCTCCAGAACAGTGTTAGTTGACACTAGGATAAATGACATTGTGGCATATTCTTATAATCTTCTTTTCACTATTGGAATCTGGTCAGCACACAGTATCCTATTAACTTTCCTGAATGGTGTGAAACTCACTACGATTCACAGATGTGCCAAGTCTACGTTATCCAAAAGGAGATCTCCAGCTTTCCTTGTCTCAACAAACGCCAAGTAGCTACAGCGCAAGCCTGACACATCGGATACGTCTGATTCAGTAAATTATTCAGTCCTCGCCTGAAAAACTAATGTGATTTAATGTCAAAAGGTTAACATGTCAATGCAATAATAACTATACATTTATACAGCACCTTTCGCATTGGGAGGGCATCCCAAGGCATTATTGCAAATATCCCATTTCAATGATCCAGAATCGTCTGCATTTCACAATGTAATAATTTGCAGTTTATTATGCATTTGGGTTGCAGGCCAAGAAAATAAAACAATATGACACAGTTGTAGGAAATGGCACTGTCCTATAATGCTTTGCTTACTTCTAAAAGGGTGTTACTCTACGAAGGCTAATGCTGTTTATGGAGAATGATCAATCTTAGTCACTGGGGAAGAAATATGTAATATTTCCCCACGGTTCTTCCTCACATGTTCCTCCACAACTAATTTGAGGATGACATCACTCCACTGTTGGGAAAGGTAATAACAGTTCCCTTTTGTTCCCCTATTTTTGCACCATTAATTATAAGAACATAAGAACATAAGAATTAGGAGCAGGAGTAGGCCATTCGGCCCCTCGAGCCTGCCCCGCCATTCGATAAGATCATGGCTGATCTTCAGACCTAACTCTAATTACCTGCCCTATCCCCATATCCCCTAATCCCTCTGTTTTTTTAAAAATCTATCAGTCTCAGCCTTGAAGATGTTCAAGGACTGAGCATCTACAGCCTTCTGGGGTAGTGAATTCCATAAATTCACTACCCTCTGAGTGAAGAAATGTTTCCTCAACTCTGTTCTAAAAGGCTGACCCTTAATTTTAAAGACTGTGACCCCTGGTTATAGATTCTCCTACCAGGGGAAATAGACCCTCTACTTTATCCAGTCCTTTAAGAATCTTATATGTTTCAATAAGATCTCCCCTAACTCTTCTGTACTCTGGAGAATACAGCCCTAGTTTATTCAGCCTATCCTCATACATCAGTCCCCTCATCCCAGGAACTAACCGAGTGAATCTACGCTGCACCCCCTCTAGGGCAAGTATGTCTTTTTTTAAATGAGACCAAAACTGCACACAATACTCTAGGTGCGGTCTTACCAAGGCTCTATACAGTTGCAGCAAGACTTCCCTACTCTTGTACTCTAAACCTTTTGCAATGAACGCTAACATGCCGTTCGCCTTCTTAGTTGATTGCTGCACCTGCAAACTAACTTTTTGAGACTGGTGTACAAGGACACCCAAATCCCTCTGCACACTAACACTATCTAATCTCTCCCTCTAGAAAATAATCTGTTTTTCTATTTTTTCTACCTAGGTGAATAACTTCACACTTCCCCACATTAAATTCCATCTGCCACCGACTCGCCCACTCCCCGAGCCTATCTATATCCCGCTGCAATCTTTTTGCATCATCCTCAGAGCTTACTCTCCCACCTCGGTTAGTGTCATCCGTGAATTTAGATATGTTACATTCAATGTCCTCGTCTAGATCATTGATGTAAATTGTAAATAGCTGAGTCCCAAACACTAATCCTTGTGGCACTCCACTAGTCACATCCTGCCAATTCGAGAATGACCCGTTTATCCCTACTCTCTGTTTTCTACCTGTTATCCACTCTTCAATCCATGCTAATATGTTCCCATTAATCCCGTGGGCCTTAATGAATTATTTCATTAATTTATTAACATATTCATTTTCACCATTCTACTTTAGAGAACAAACCTTGCAATTTGATATAGCACCTTATCACAGGTTGTTGAGATGTCTCACAGTGCTTCAATGACTATATTGTTAAGCAGATTGATTGTATATGTATTTTGTGGGCGCAACAGCTATCCAGAGTATGCACGGCTTTGAATGTAATAAATTTAGAGTCTGGTGTCAAAACTACAGGTGTAAAAACAAATATTATCATTTTTATTAATGTTACACTTTCCACTCGTATACTTTAATGCACTTTCATGGCTTTAAATACACACACACACATACATTTCTTTGTAGTAACTAAACTGGTTTTAAACAAATATATTTCCTATTGTTTCTAACACTGCAAACTCTTTGCAATTCTGTAACAACACAAAGCTAACAAATGATGGCAGAAAGATACAGCACCTCACCGAGAGGTACGAACACGCTGAACGAACATGCTGTGCCAAGGTGTAGTAAGACGCAGGGGCGTGCCTACAATTTTCCACACTGTATATTCTTGACTTTGAATGTGACATAGAGTGCTTTCCACACGGAAAAGAATCAAAAGACTAAATCAATTGTCAATTTAAGAACAGCACAGACAAAGGTTAGAGATTGGAGACTAGTACATGGCATAGATAATAATAATAATAATCCTTGCATTTGATATAGCGCTTTTCACGTCGGGAGGACGTCCCAAAGCGCTTCACAGAACACACTGTAAAGTGAATTGACTGTATATTTGTGGGCGAACGCGGCAGCCAATTGCGCACAGCAATGTCCCACAAACAGTCGTAGATTGAAAATGACCAATTTATTATTGTTTTTGGTTTTGGAGGGATTATTATTATTAGGCGTGTGGAGTAAGGAAACTTGCCCAAGGTTTCGCCCTGACCTATTATTTATTATTTACATGAGAAATTATTTACATGAGAAATTTGGATACACACAATGTTTCCAAATTGGAAAACATACAGGATATACTGGCTTATAACTTTAGAGACCACTTAATGCCATCAATAAATATCCACAATACAACTCCGGGTTTGAAGAAGCTGCCTGATTTAGAGAAATAAAAGCAAATCGCAATTCTTAATCTTCAGCAAATACTGGGACCTGAATTGCATAACAAAACAGGCAAGAAAACAATCAAGACTATGGTAATTTAAAATGTACAAAACTAGCTCACTCATGTAAACTGCTTTTACAAAACGCAGTCCATTTCTTTCATTCCTATTGAAGAAACAGTACCTGGATGCTTGTGCATTTACTAATAATGGAAAGAATGAAAACGAGATAATCTGATTCAATGTTTAGCGGAAAGAATTATTTTGCCTCGGCTCTTATCTGTCATTCAGTTGATTCACAGGGTTTATAATGCTGTTGATAACTATGACTAACTCTTAGCTTAAAATCTCAAACAGCTCATTTATGAGCAGGTCTAGCGAGTTGGAATGATCACACAGGTGTGTGGAGCTACAACATTCCCTGAGCTAGGGTTTCAATAGGTTTTCCTATTTTAGAATCTGCTCCCTCCCATGTGAATTTCTTTAAGTATTTTATACCCATTATTCCAGAGTACTAACTATTTAGTGTTGCATATTAACATTTACGTTCTTAAGGCAACCAGGTTTGAATCTGAAATTGACAGGGAAAATATTAGAATACGTTAAAAGCTGTAGAAAAAGTGGAAATTAAGTTTGTTTTAAGAACCTCTGTTAAGAACCTTTCCATAATGTTGTGTCATTTGGAGAAATCTATCACCATAGATTTTGTTCAAGGTATTTCCACACGGATAGGAAGCAATACTCTTTCATACTGGAAGTCCACTGGAATGATCATAATATTATACAAAGTTGCATATTCAAGGGGTCTTGAATGATTAGCTTCACAGTTAGAACAATGCGGATTAAAAACTATAGCAGATTGTTCCTCCTCCTAGGCAATGATAATATTGACATTCCTCCACCTACTGTAGTTCCACTATTACTTAACATCAAAGGTGAAGCAAACATCTTGAGGCTAAGGAATGTAAATGTTCCAAAAAAATACAATCTATGTATTTACAGAGAGAAAATAAAACTCAAATATTGATAGAATTAGAAGAGGAAAACTGTGACACGTAAGAGGCAAGTACAGGGTTGGTTGGAAGTACTTTGATGGGCAGATCCCAGCTGAACGTGTCCACATCGATCCGCTCCGCCCCAGTCCAGGTAATGATCTCCGATTGGTTCTCAAGGACTGTAGGTGGTTCCACTGGTTCACGAGCCGTCACAAACTCAAAGTGTAAGCGCCATCTCAAGGACACTGAAATTAAATGGATTGTGTCAAGCCACTGCTTGAAAGCAAGTGCAAAGACCTTTTAAAACTTAAAACAACAACAACAAATTAGACTTGTGTAGCACCCTTCACTTCAGAAAGACATCCCAGGGCACTTGACAGTCAGGGTTTTTTGGACCCGAGCTGGAAGTTGGGGTCAAGGAGGGGTGCAGGCCAGGGGTGGTGAGGATGGGAGGTTGGCTGAAGGCACGGTCAAAGAAGGTCTTTAGACGGGACTTGAAAGAGGCAAACGAGGCGGTGAGGAGGAGGGATTGGGGGATAGAGTTCCAGATTGTGGGGGCGGAGATGCTGAATGCCTGACCGCCAATGGTGGGGCCGAGGGGTATGAGGGACCTGAAGCCGGGCCAGACAAGTCACATCTCAGAATCTTTGCATAGATTCTAGCTCATTTTCTTTCAAAAAATATCACACCATCAGATACTCAGCAACAGGCAGATATCAATTCTTGCATTTGATATAATAATGCTTGCATTTGCATTTTTGATATAGAGCCTTATCACATCTTTGAGACTTCTCAAAGCGTTTCACAGAATATACTGTTAAGTGAATTGAGTGTATATTTTGTGGGTGAAACACGGCAGCCAATTGCGCACAGCAGTATCCCACAAACAGTCGTGGATTGAGTGACAACATTTTTTTTTTGAAGGGATTATTACCCCTGGAAAAGCGATTCTCCATTTGACTAACAACCAGGGTCCTACTTACTGCTAGGTAAACACAGGCGTGTGGACTTGTGCAACGTTTCACCCTGCACAGGAATCAAACCCAAGTCCTCTTGCTTGCGAGGTGAGTGCTCTAACCACTAAGCTACAGGACTCCATATAGCACCGTTTCAAATTTGTTGAGACGTCTCAAAGCACTCCACAGTCTCAGAACGCTTGAATGATCAGACAGTTGCTTAATTTACTCTTCTGGTGTTTCTTACGAAAGTAGGTCAGCCATTGTCACCTCAAGTAGGCGGGTTGCCAGATACCATTTACATGAGTTACCACATTGCAGTGTTGACCCCATCCAATTGTATAACATACAAAGACAAAAAGGCACTCTTACCAACACTGGTGAGGAAGCTAGGTGTTACGCTGAGTGGAATAGGTAAACTGAAGTGCGTCTTAGCTGTGTGCAAACATGACTCCTGGTGTCGTGCGTGTGTATGAAGGGAAACGGGCTGTCCTTGTTTTCTCTGATACTCCTCCTGTATGTGTTCTTCAGTTTGTAGAGCTACTGAGAACTGCAACCAAGGAGAGAGGCGTTGCTCATATTACAGGGTTTAAAACATTAACTTGAAAACAATCACAGAAAGTTCACAACACAGGATGTGGTCATTCAGCCAATGGTCGCCAGTCAATGCATCTGGATCATCAGGTCACTGCTGATATCACTTCCTATGTGAAGTGATATCAGCAGTGCTTCCTGCTCATAACAGGCATATCCAGCGCACAGGAACGGACATCATCAATGCTTTAGGAAGCTGGCAAGTCAGCACTGGAGGCTGGAAGTGTTCTGCTCTTCTGGTATACAGTGGCTCAAAGTGTGATGGCACTATGAGTGGACCTGAGCTACACTGAAGCACATTATAAATGGGGTCAGCCGGTAGATACAAATATTTTCTAATTGTACTGACCTGTAAACACGGAATGTCCCCTTCAGAGAAATCGAATGTCCCCACAACATCCTCGCCAATCTTGTAGATGGTTTTGAAGATGCAGAACTTTCCAACTTTCCCTCGGATATTAGTAATGTTATACAGATCTGCACAGAAAGAAACACCAAGTTTAATCAATTAGATCATACAATATCCTCATTAGATAATAATACCGGATTCTTCTCTCCATTCTTTACGTAGGTGCTTTTACATCTAAGCAGCTAGCTTCATGTTTTCAATGAGAACAAATAAATAATTTGCTGCTTAACACTTACGAAGGCTACGTCGCGAAGTATTGGTCATCAGCATTTCTGTTGCCATATCAATTAATCTGGTGTCTTTTTTGATGTTCTCATCTTCATCCAAAAACGGGTTTGAAGGGGCCACGGCTTCATCTGGGGTAAGCTGATAATCTTCTAACCCTGATGGGGACAGAAATTTACTTGTTAACTAAATGCTCACCCCTAGAATTAAACTATAGGGCACCCCAGTGACTCCGAGAGTAATTGCTCACTAAAATGTTCAGAGCAGAAGATCACAGGTTCGAATCAGAAATACCATTTATTTAAATTAGATTTTATTTTTTAAAAGAGGCGTTTTCAACAAAAATCTGTGTTTTTTAATTAAAATTGCATCCAAATTTAAGAAATTTTATAATTACTTTGATTTTAAACCGGGGTCTAATTTGTGAGGATGCAAATCAGATTTTTTACATTAATTGATTTACAACTTCTGATTTACAGACTTCCCTGAGAAATTCCTCACCATAAATCAGAAATCACAAATCAGCAAATCCTTAAGAAAGCTGGCAAAATGGCAGTGGAAAACAGATTGGGACTCGCATGAATAGGCATGAATTTTCTAGCAAATTTTGCCAACAATATCAATGTAAACAATTCTGTTTGGGAATATTACAAATGAGATCAGGAAGGTGCTAGTTAAATCTCTAATCTATGCAAAGGTGAAGTGTGAACACAACTGGCATGTATACAGGGAGAAGGCACAACTGGGAATGAGGAAGCTCTTTATAACTGTTCACAAGTACAAACAGGAATAGTCACCCACAGCAATATGACATACAGGAAATCTATGGAATGAGTTATGAAATCTTCCTGTATGAAAGACCAAAGAAAAGAATACAGCATTTCAGTTACCATATAGGCTCTTTGTGCAAGATTGTTTGTGGGACACTGCTGAGTGCAATTGGCTGCCGAGTTTTGCCCACAAAATATACAGTCAATTCACTTTACAGTATATTCTGTGAAACACTTTGAGACGTCTCAAAGACAAAATAAGTTGCTATATCAAATGCAGGGATTATTTATAATCATGCTTGAATAACTGGAAAATTGATTGTTTAATAAATTAAAAGGGAAAGAAATCCTTAGTTTCCAATATAGCAATTTAATATTTACCACAAAATGCAACATCAATTTTATTGCTTTAAAATAAATAATATTCCAGCAAATTACCATCCAAAATCATCTGTACAGCAAAAAATTAATGAGGCCAAACATGTGAAAGGAGTAACAGGGACTTACCGTAAACCACCAAAACCCGGAAAGGGACCCTCAGGAGTTTGATAGGAGAGTTTACTCTCTGACAACCAATAGTCAGTTTGTAAACGTATTTCACTGACTGGCCACGGAAGGATGGCGGACCATCTTGAGGCACGGTTTCACAGTAGGAATCTAAACATTCCAAGCACAACAAGGTTAAATGACAGGTCTTTTCAGAAATGGAAAAGACAAACATAGCAAAAGATTTCGGTACCAGGAGCAGTGTGTGGTATATCTTCAACTTTACAATCATGCTTTGATTTCTTTTGAAAACTTATCTTCATTGTAAAACAGAAAGTAATCCTTGCATAATATCTTAGGGCAGAATGTCATGACACGTAACGTAATCCTGTAATAACAACACTGAGAGCCATTACTACTTAATACTGCAAAACAAAGCACTTCCTTTTAGTACATTACTAAACTTTGAAAGATACATACAAAACAAATATTGCGTAAATTGAATTTATTTTTGCCTAATCGGATGATTTAGATTGTCATTCTCAAACAGCGATTATCCAGTTCCTTTTGATTCAAACTTTATATTTTTCACATGGGAAAAGAGTATTCCAAATAAATATTCACTTTAAAGAGTCATTGAATATTCCCACATTCCTGAGAGGTCATCAGAAACTGATACTGTGATCAACTAACAGAACAGATTCAAGTGTCCAAGCCAGCACCTCACAGGTTTGTATAGCTAACCACATTTACTTACTGAGCATCACCAAAGTCTGTGTAATTCATGTAATAATACACATTACATCATTCTGTGGTTTAAATACAACAAAAACAACAAGATTCCATTTACAGAGCGCCTTTCACGTCGGGAGGACGTCCCAAGGCGCTGGACAGTTGGGTCAGGACCCGAGCAGTGGGGAAATGGTCAGGGTGAGGGGAGGGAAGGGAGGGAGCAAGGAGGGGGTAGAGAGTCGAGCTGAAGGCACGGTCAAAGAGAAAGGTCTTGAGACCGGCCTTGAAGGAGGAAAGGGAGGAGGTGGCGAAGGCACTGGGGGATAGAGTTCCAGAGCCTCGGGGCTGAGAGGCTGAAAGCCCGGCCACCGATGGTAGGGCGGTTGGGGCGGGGGATGTGGAGCAGACCGGAGCCAGAGGAACGGAGGGTACGGGCAGGTAGGTAGGGGATAGTAGGTCGGAGAGGTAGGAGGGAACAAGGCCGTGAATGGCCTTGTAGGTGAGGATGAGGATCTTGAATTCGATCCTCTGGGGGATGGGGAGCCAGTGGAGGCGAGCGAGGGTGGGAGTGATGTGGTCCCGAAGCCCGGTGCGGGACAGTACACGAGCTGCAGAGTTCTGAATGACCTGCAGCTTGTGGAGGGAGGGCCGGGAAGGCCGGCGAGGAGAGAGTTCCCATAGTCCAGCCTTGAGGTGATAAAGGCGTGGACCAGGGTTTCAGCAGCGTGAGGGGTGAGGTAGTGCCGTAGTCTGGCGATGTTTCGGAGAATATATCATGTTGCAGCCTCTGGGTCTTGCATTGATTTCTCTTCCCACTATTACCCTTGCTAACAGGCACATAGTGATAAGAACTTGATCAGTAATAAGATCAAAGAACCCAATAGCGCAAGTAAATGAGGCTCAACTGACCATAGTAATAAAGCTTACATTCGGTAAAGTACCTTTCACCTCAGAAGAACGCCCCAACGTGCTTCACAGGATACACAACACTGTAGAGTGACCGTGTGTTTTTGTGGGTGAATAACAGTTCTTATTCTAGCTCTATGGAGGTTTGAGACTGGGTTTTAATGGAAGCTGAGGGGAAAAATACTATTTTACAAAACTGGATGTACTTACAGGATTTTGATTCACCGGGAACAAGCCGTAGGTCACAGAAGAGTATCTTGGGTGGAGTGGCCAGAAGGCATTGCCCTCGTTCACCTGAAAATGAATTGAAAACAATTTAAGTTATGTATTAAATCAACAAACAAATTAGCAGATCCTGGTCAGGGGACACTCACGTGTTCTGACTGCATGCAATTCATGATGTGTTGAATGCTGTACTCGAATTTACATCTCAAGTTATCTAAAAATATTTCACGTGGTCCTGTATTCAGGCAGATTTTATTAGGTGTTACAGTTTGTTGTCAGTCTCAATTAACAAACTTAATACAAATTTTTGTAAAGCGCCCTTCACTCAGGTATCATCTCAAGTGTGCTTATACACTGCAAAATGTAAGGCATTACTAACACATAGGGTGCGGAAGGGACTTAAACATTCAATGAATGAAATGAGGTGGAGTAGGGGTCAGAGAGTAGACTTATTATGTTCTACCACTTTCACCTTCAGCCACTCTGCCCCCAACTTCTGGAACTCCATCCCCCAATCACTTCACCTCGCCCCCTTCTTAACCTCCTTCAAGTCCCGCCTCAAAACCCTTCTCTTCGACCATGCCATCGGTCACCCCCTTCCGCTCCCCTCTCTTCTCCCCCCGACCCCAGCTCGGGTCTAAAATGCTGCCCACTGTCCAGTGCCTTGGGACGTCCTACGGAGTGAAAGGCGCTATACAAATGTAATCTTGTTGTTGTAATCTTGTTGTTCAATTTCAGATAACGTTCCTAAGCCAGGTGAGTCCAGAGTACAATGCAGGATGACAGACCAGCCAACCTGGTACGTCAACAAGTCTTGGAGGAACAGGCCAGTCACTGAGAGAAGGTGCTCTTCCCCTCAGCTTCCATTAACTCTCCAAGCCAATGCTTTATTAAGTAGGGTTGTCCAACCTGGACAAGCAGCGGGAATTTTAATAGACAGGAATCACGATTGCAAGCTGTGTGGCCTTATCTTAAACTCAAGCAGCATACACTTTCGGGTTCCCATGCTTTGGCTCTTGCCAAGCTGCATCTTTCTGAAATTAGGTAATCAGGGTGAATCTCTCTGGCAGAGAGTTTGTATTCCATTCCAGACAAAGAGAAATTTCCATGTGTAGGTGGCATCATATGTGAAACCAGATCGGTTTGGATACTCCTAAGCGTGGGTTTCTACAGGTCAGATAGCTGGCTGACCAAACCCAAAATTTTCAGACAACGTGGGGCAACTATTAATGAAGCTGATTGAATGTTATATTCCATAACTGTTATGTAGTCTATGATTAAAGAAATTAAATCTTTACAATCTAGAAAGAAGGTGGCTAAGGAGGAGCTTCACTAAGTGCATAAAATATTTAATGGTGTAGATAAGTAACCCAGAAGTATTACACGGCAGCCCCATTATAACTTGTCTGAGTGAGTCTACTGTCGACCCCACTTTATCAGAAGCGAGTATAACCAGCGACTAGCACTAAAAAAAATGGCCAACTTCCGGGTCATCAGGTTGCCATTGACATTGTTTCCTGCAAACTAAATGCAGATAATTGTGCTCATGTGAACTTTGCAAAAGAGGTGACATCAGCGGGGCTTCTTACAGTTAATGAATATATACATGCAGAAAGTGACCCAACATCACTTCCCATGCACTGTGCGTACGTGGCATAGAGAAAGTGATGTCAGTGGAGACCTGATGACTCGGACGTTGGATCTTTCAGTACAAGAGATGGCAGGTGCACAGGAAAGCTGCTCACACGCAAAGTGATGAGATCCACATCACAACCGCATTATAACCAAATCAACAGGAAATAAAGATGAGCAATATGACAGTCAGGTATAAAATTTGGTTTTGAAGATCAAGGTCAATAATAAAGTGATGGTCGTAAGCTTAAGAACAAAGATATCAAGAGCACTGAGGGCAGAGAGAAGTAGAAGAAAGCTCGGAGATAAATCTACCTCTGTTTGGGACAAAGACTGTCTCATTTTCGGCCTGCACATCGTGCTTTGTGTCTTCAGAGGGAGGAAGAGAGACACGACTCTCACTGGTATGAAATTGGCAGTGGATCTGAGCGCTTGCCCATGCCAGCATCTCACTGGAAAATTAAAGAAAAGCAACTCTAGCACCAAAACAATTCGGAAACAACCGATTGAATTGTTAAGCATTTACAGGATTTCCTCATTTGAGGTCCTAATGATAATAATACATTACATTTGTTTAGCGGCTTTCAACTGGTAAATAATAATAATTCTTGTATTTCATATAGCACCCTTTCACGTAATTGAGACGTCTCAAAAGGGCTTCACTGAATATACTGTAAAGTGGATCGATTGTGTATTTTAGAGAGGCCTAGCACCCATTCAGCGCAATCAGAACACATAATATGCATCAACTAGTTTATTTCCCAAAAATATTTAGTCAAATATATCTAATGAAAATAATATTTAGTCAAATATATCTATATTTAATAGCAAACAGTTCCAGAAAATACACCTAATTCCCAAATAAAACTTCAATTATTCTAATTACTTAGGTAAATATAAAAATACTTTAGAAATGATTAATAAAAGTACTTGCATAGAATAGGGGGCAGAAGTGGAAATTAACTAGATTATAGGAAAGTCACTACTTGTAGTTATGTGCCTCTGGGATCGATGCTAGGGCTGATGTACATAAATTATGTACACTGTATATAAATTATTTGGATGTGGGACATCTAAGTTTACTGAGACACCAAACTGGGTTTGTTGCAATTAATAGGAACTAGACTGCCTAAAAAAACAGAAGAAGCTTGATAGATTAGAGACCTGAGCTAGGAAGGTGGACAAAAGTAGAGGAATGACATTGGGGAAGAATAAACAAAGGTAATGACACTGGGGAATAAACACTATTGCAACAATAATATGCCTATTATAACATTCATAAGTGTTTTATAGGGACAATGGGAAACACTAACAATAAAAACCTGTGTGTGGGGGGGTGGGTTGGGGGGATGCGAGGATGTTTTTAGGAGACCTTTTTTTTGGTCAGCCAGGTCTCTGACACATGCAGAGCCCCATCACCAAGCTTAAGAGAATCCACCTTTTGCAGAATCTCCATCTGGGACAGATGCCTCTATCAGGAACAGTAAATGGAGGCTCAGCCATCTCTCTCTCTGGATCTCTCTATTTCTCTCTCGGTCTCACCTGGAGGCTCAGCCCTCTGTCTCTCTCTCTCTCTCTCTCTCTCTCTCTCTCTCTCTCGAGGACTCGCCTGCAGGCTCAGACCTTTCTCTCTCTCAGGGTCTCACAGTCCTCTTCAACCATGCTTATGGTTCCCACCCTCTCGATTGGTGTGCTGCTCCACCACTGTTAAGTGCTCTGAGATGCTACCTTGCTGTATAAATGCAAGTTGTTGTCTCTCTCAGGCCTCCCTCTCTCTCTCTGGGTCTTTCTCTCTTTCTCTCTGGGTCTCTCTCTCTCAGGCCTCTCTCTCTCTCCCTCTCTGGGTCTCTCTCTCTCTCTCAGGCCTCTCCCTCTCTGGGTCTCTCTCTCTCTCTCAGGCCTCTCCCTCTCTGGGCCTCTCTCTCTCT